ACACCAGTTGTCTTAATACATATTATAATGCAATTAAGCAACTCTCCATCTGTGTGTGGCCTTATTGCTTCTGCAGCTTTACTGTCAAACATAGCATATGACCTGATGGTTCTCTATGATATTCTAAAGGGGTTGACAATAAGAGGGGTATCAAAATAAATCATATGCCTCACAGTACTGATCAGCTGCTTACTGGGTAAGCAAATGGCATGGATGGCAGATCCTTGAGCACTGCCTGTTGTAATAAGTATTTGTACAGTAAATTCTCTACTTATGTCATTCCTTAATCCTTCATTTCACTTTTCTGTCGCTAACATACAGTAAGTCCTTGTTTAACATTGTCCCCGATAACGTCATAACTTCGCTACTCTTTAGATACCCATGATTAGGACAACGTCCCGCCGATTCAGTATAACTTCGTCACAGACTACTTTGTACGGCGCATCACCCTCTCTCTCTTCTTGGCGCGCTACGACGCTCTCAGCTAGGCTAGCTATGCTCTCACTCACGGAGCGTTTCACAGCGTTCCCACTCTTTGTCAGGCTTCCACAGCATTCATGCATGTTTAGGTGCCATCCCATGGGCCCTGAAAGGTTACTCTAAGGATCACCTTCCTGTTATCTACAAGACAAACAAGAAGGCATGGATAACCAGAGCCATATTTAGCCAATGGTTAACTGTGTATGCCGTCCCTGCACTGAAGGATTATTGTGCCAAGGAGAAACTGGACTTCAAAATTCTTATTGTCATTGACAATGCTCCAGCTCATCCTCCCAATCTCAACGACTTACATGACAATGTTCGAGGTATTCCTGCCTCCCAACATGACAGCACTGCTGCAGCCTATGGACCAAGGCGTCATCGCCGCATTCAAGGCGTATTATTTACGAATAACCACGGACTAACTGCTCAAGGCTACTGACGGAGAAAATATACCTATGATCTGAGAATATTGTCGCGGCTTCAACATTCTTCATACAATTGGCATCATTGACAAGGCATGGGAAGGTTTCAGAAAGTTGCCTGAATGGTGTGTGACAGAAGTTATGGCCCGAGTGCATCAACAGTTTTATGGGATTCAGACTTAGTCCCAGCTGTGAATAGGGTTATCCTCAGCTTGGCTAGACAGGCAGGCTTTCATGAGTTGGAACCTGAGGATATTGAGCAGGTCCTGGCATCCCATATAGAAGTGCTTACTAATGAAGATCTTCAACTGCTAACAGAACACCGTCCTGTTGAAGACGACGAAGAAAAACCACAAATGCTAACTTTCAAAAGGATGGCAGAAGAATTCAACATGATCCAGCAAGGTATGCAAATCTTCAAATCTTCATTGATGATGACCCAACCAAAAAAAGTAGCTCATGATTGTATGCAACATGGAGGAAACTCTTAGTTGCTATAATGAGATCTACAAGGACTAAGCAGTTAACTCTGGATTCTTTTTTTGGTCGCCAGAAGGCAGAAGCAGCATCTTCACAACAGCCTGCAAGTGAGGAGCAACCAGAAGCCGAGGAACCCCAGTCAGAGCAGGAGCCACCCTCCTCCTCTGCTCCACTACCCACCACACACTCACTCCACCACATCTGCCCATCAGTGAGTATAATACAAAATGATTGTCTATTTATATGTATATACTATTTTCTATAAATTGCTGTATATGTAATGTATTTCATGGAGCAAAGGGAGGCTCAGGAACATAACTCCAGTATTTTATCTATTTCTTATGGGGAAAATTTATTCCGTTAATGTCGCGGTTTTCCTGAGCCAAATCTGTTCATTTCTACCTATTTATTTAGTATGTATCTTAATAACATCTCTGTTTGCCTGCTGTTCTCCTTTGCTAACTATGATAAAGTGTAACAGTTCAACAATCTAACTTGAAATGTTTGATTCCAGATTATATAAAAAAAAAAGTGGTGGTATCACTGACAACAGACTGTAACCTGACCCTTCCAGCACATCAAATCAGTTGAGAGAGAGCATGGCATATGTCTGAGCTCCCATAAATAGCATTACAAGCCAGTCACAGTACAGTACTGTTCATATTCTCCGACTATTAATATTTCCAATACTCACTGGTTTTGTGTGTACATGTATGGTAATCAATGATTGTTTAGACTAGTTATAATACTATACCTCTTTTGGTAGTTATTCTGTCAAGTGTAATAAAAAATATCCCCCCCCCCAGGAATGTATTCCCCAATTAAAACATGAGAAAAAGGCATACCAATTTATGTTATTTTGCCTTACACTGTGTTCTCTATGAATGTACTGTATCCACAACATACATAGAGGTCTTACTGTAGTACCACAAGAAAAATGGTTTGAGACTGACAATTAAAAGAGCTGCATATAAAGGGAGCCTTGGGATATGGCTATACGTACTGTACTCTGCATTTATTTGTGTATCTTAGCCTAGTCCCAATACTGTTCAACACCACAGTAGAACTAGGCAATGCTCAGGAGACTGCCACTATCTCATACCAAATGGCAAGTGATCATTACTGGTGACAACACAACATACTTCATAGCCCACTTTAAATGTTACCCACTCTTACGGTACATACCCATTTACAACCACCCAGGGGAACTAACAACCTGAGTGCCAAATTAAAAGATAGAATGGCCAAAGCTTTAAGTGCACACATGGTTGGACAGACAAGCAGAGGTTGTTAGGTACACTCCAGTAGTATAAATATAAATATATAAATATACTGTATAACGAGTGATAATGAATTTAGTATTACACATTACTGAGTATATAAAAATCAAAATTTAACAATTTCAAGTTCAAGAAAATAAATTCAAATAAAAAAAAATATATATATATGTATAGTGGGAAAGGCTGTAGAGAGACTGTCATCGAGATATTCTTGGTTTACACAGTTAAAGGAGTTTTCTAAAGCTCATATTCAACAACTCTAATTACAGAATGCCTGCTTACTTAATGCCCTTACATGCTGAGTTTTCTCTTCTCTATAGACTGTCATAAAAACCATATTATCTAACCCTCATACCGTGATGCTGACCATAGATGACTCGATCATTACTTCATATTAGAGGGGTGAGGTGTATAGTATTCAGAGGAGGGGGTACAGAGTATGGAGTACTGATGTAATTGATCTTTCACCTTCTGTGTGTGTGTATAGTAAATTAATAATTATTCAGAAATTTGCTGGAAACTGGTAAGTGGATTTGTAACATGACTGAGATCAAGCATTGAAAAGTGTTTCACTCATAAATGGCAGAACACTGACTACTTTTATTAATTTTTGTTTTTGCTCGACACATTCAAAGTGAGTACTACAAATACTTCCAATAGGAAATGACATCAGTAAAAATTTTAGTTTCTGGTTGCTGCCATATGAAACATTACTCAACATGTTTACCTCCACATCTAAAACACAACATTTTGTCATTTCAAAGACTTTCTTACATGCTGGAATTATCATACTTTTTAACCTTACATTAGTTTCTCTAAACAGTGAGAAAACTGAGCATAAAGCATGCAATAACTTTATTTTTCTTTGTGCTTACAGTAAATAAAAAATTATATATATTCTTTCTTTACATGATGTTAAAATATGAGCTTACGAAATTCTCAAGAAATTTAATACACAGTACAGTACTTTGTCCAAAATGGACCCTACTTTGTCAAAATTAATGCAAGTAAATTTTTCTTAACCTTGGAAGGAAAAAGTTTATATTAAACAAAAGTACCAGTGCAAGGGTTAAACAACTCTGCAGAAATTTATTCTTAACAATAAAGTAAAAATATTACCAGAAAATGAATTGCATGTTTTCTCAAAGTAGTTCCATGAAAGTATACAAAAATACAATTAATGCTTCAGTTCCGCCTGCATTATGATAAAGATTACACTGCAAATCCATAACAGTAATAAATGAACTTCCTAATAAAATTTATTCGTTCTCCTACATATGTAAATTAACAAAACAGAAGTACGTCACCTTACCAGACTAATTATTGCATAGGGGAGACTGGAACAAGTGTTAATTCCAGTACAACAAAGTTTTTGCTACAGTGGTACACTCCTCCCACTTCAGTATAACCTAATATAATTTTAATATAAGAGGCAGATACTTGTTATGAGAACGAGAAAAAATTTCCTCACTGTGAATTATATATTTTTTATCAAAAATAAACCTTAAGGTAATATTACATGTTCATAAACAATTTGTGTTAATATATGGAATGTACACCAATGTACTGTACAGTGAAACGAGTGGTTCATGTATTTAACACACCATAATGTATGCAGTACTGTATCTTGCTCCTTTAAAAACCCATGCCCTGCACCCTTGATACAAAATCCCTTTCATGGCATTACTTGTAAATAGACAGCACTTCATTGAACAACCTCATCAACAATTTACACCTGGAGTTTCTTGTAAATTATGTAAATTAAATAACCTTCCTCAAAAATGTACACAAAAAAGCAGAATTATAATAAATGCAAAAATTACTCCTTTCTCATCACTGATTTAATTAGAATCATGAGCAATTAAAATAAAACAATGATTTTCATTTATTTTTATGAAGTCATTAACTAAAACTTAAAGCATGTTTAAAACTCATAATTTGTATTTTTAAGTTATAGTCCTGTTTAATAACAATGTGTGTCAATCTCCACAGGCCATAACACTCATGATCAGTACTTTATAATTATATACTTTATAATAAGTATATTTTGGACAAATGTGTCAAGTTTGAGAATCAAGATCTTCATTCACTTCCTGGGCTGTGATCAGCACTGAACCAAGCAGTCTAGCGGCACTATTTAGTACAGATGCTCTGAGCTCTGTAACTGTACCCATCCTAATCTCCCAAGAGTCTATCTAGTTATCGTGGCACATATGGTTGTTAAATCATGATTGGTTCACATGATACAAAAAGTTTCCAATAATATTTATCAAAACAATAATTTTCACAATATGTTTAAAGTAAAGAAATTTGATCACCATTTTTTTTTGGGGGGGTTGTGATACTTAGAGCTATAGTAAATGCAGTAGTGGTGTATGTCAACCTCCTAAAGTCAGTGGCATTATTTCCTTGTAGGTTATTGTTTTAAGTTACACATCAGCAACAAGAAATTGATTTAAAAGGAACAATTTATAGTTCTGTTCACTGTTGAATAAAAAAAAAAAAGGACTAAAAATTAAAAGAAAAACTAATGTCACAAGAACAATGAGCTTGACAATTTTTTTTTACCAGATTGGCAATCAGTGAGACCGAGATTGCCCCCTCTGACAGTATTCATCAATGTGTTATGTTTCAATACTTGAGCTTTATATACAGTATATAGCATAATGATGAATGGCTGTAAAGTGGAAGTACCAAGTACCTTAGAATTATAAATTCAATATTCACTATTACTTAAAAATAAAAAAGTCTCTTGCCAAAAAAATACAAAAAAAACTGTAAACACATGAAAATTATCTATATTTTCACCATATGTTTATACATTAACACACTGTCCACATAACTCTAGGAAGGTGATTTGTTGTTTTTATGTAATATCTGAAAGAAAATTCCATTTAATAGATATGCACCACTAAAAAGAACCTCTATAATTCATAAAACACAGACCAGTAACTTGTAATGCCTTGCTGATTTAATGGCCACACAATTGAGCTTATATTATGTTCACCTTGGTGTGACTATTCTGCAGTTGATTCAATCAGTCTGGTTAAACAACATTTTAGATATGCAGAAGTCTGGTAATTTGATGTACTTCTGGAATGATGATAACCAGCAAGGCTGCATGTTTACATGTCATACAGTTTACTTATTTTGTAAGCACATAGGGCATAGCATACACATAAGAGAAATGATAAGCAGTAAAGATTGTATGAGACTTTAACCTCATAACTTAGCATCAAATTCCTCATTTTATATTAACAAAAGAATTATAAGGGCTGCAAATTGTAAAACCAAATAAATATTGCATTTCATGTAAATAAACTATCTGGCATTTTAAATTAATAAAGAAGAGAATAATCTGTATCACATGACACAAAACCCTGGAAAATTGGATTTATATGGAAGATAATTTGTAAACAATAAGAAAACTATTTTGAAAGCATAATCTTTAGTATCCATCATTGGTGATTGGCATCACTGTATATATTCCTCTGTATGGATAATAAGATGTGAAATATTTATAAAGTGTATGGTATATCACTGCATCTAATTATTATTTTTTCTTGAACCTGGTTAGAGGAAATACAAAACCTTCTCCATCTACAAGACCAATGATCATCTTTATACAGTAAAACACAATTAGTAAATCTGTTACACCGGAATAACAGCACCTTTAAAAAAACATTTGTTTAAGTTTGATTATATCTAATTTCCTAATACTGTACAGTGAAGCCTCCATCTAATGGCCTATATTGGGTGAGGGTAGTCCACTAGAACTGAAAGTTCATTAGACAGGAGTATAAAATTACATGCCACACACAGCAATAAAAAAAAATTAAATAAAACATGTCATAACCAACCAGTGATTGCTTTAAAATTAGGAATTTTCAAATGATTCTGCAGCATTCTGTATTCAACACCATGAACATCAACACCACTTGAGCACTGTTGAAGATGACATTTTTACAAGGCTTCATCCAATTCTGTATCACTAGGATGCTTTAAAAATTTTCTAGATGACATTGAACTTTCAGTATTCACATCAAACTTCAGAGAAAATTCCTGAAGCTTTTCCTCGCTTTGATTTATGTACAACACTGCTTTGTTTGGTTATGTCAACTCTTCCATGATTCTAGCAGTTGTTACACTGACCTCTTTTCCTCAATAGCCTTTAATACAGGTACAGTACCTTGACAATGGTCAGGGAACAAAAATAAAAGATTTCAACAAAGAATTGCGGGAGTTCCACACTGTTAGGCTGATGCCAACAAATGAATTGGCGCAAAAACCATGTGGTGGCTGCATCCGGGAGGTGCTATATCCGCTAGATCTAGGTTTCACTGTACATATATTATGCTGAACAACCGCAAATACGGGGTTTATTTGGACAAAATAAGCATGTCGACTAGAAGCAGTATTTTAAGTAGATATTTACTGTTCAGTGCTGAATACACCATAGAGTAAATGAGATGCTAATAATAAAGTCTGCAAGACCACATGGAGTACAGTACAGTATCTACATAATTGTATTCAATGAAAGAATTCTTTCTTTCAATATCATATATATTGTATAGTTAGCATCTGGTTAACATACATTCAATGATATGTATATTTTATAACGGTACTAATTATTTTATGTTATGCACGTACATGGGTATATTTATATTCCAAGGTGCATACATTGGACTCATGTTGGACCAGTCCCCGGTACAAGGTTGCAGATGCTCCTCACTTGTGCTACTTCCTTTGTTCTTGCTTTATTTGGATAGTTTTGTATAGGGCATGATCAAAGTTGGCTATGTTTACATATTTTGTATTCTGACAATATATCTTGTTATTTCCTACAGTACTTTGAGCAAAAAAAGTAAAATGTAAAGTAAAATAGATGCTGCTGCATATGGTGGTACTGACCCTCTGGTACTTCTGGCCATGGTCGGAAATCTCATCCCCTAGCAGTCTTTCGACATAGATCAAGTCGGTAACAGGAACGTTTACCCTTTTAATAAGTATAGAGCGATCCAAACTCATATTTCACCTTTAAGAGATGCATCTACCAGCCCACGGGGCTAGTGGGAGGAACTTGTGTGGTTCACAGGGCCAGTCCACTGTTCCCACATTTCTGCTTATAGAAGGGGTGCTCTCAGTGTGACACACAGCTGAGCGGGAGGAGTTGCACCGGCACAGGAGTGCTTAGTGATGCAATTTGTGTTGAAAGACCATAAAAGGGTTAAGATGAAAAGGTTTGTTATTACTTTTGATGAGAAAATTAAAATAATCCCTATGAAATTCCCTGAAAGCTGCCTCTCTACCTCCAAATAATAATTTATCTTCTTGTCTGTAACTACTGAACTACTCAAGTCCACAAGCTCTTGTAGAACTGGCAGGAGTCATTCAGGAGGTAAAATTAGCATGTGTTGTTGGTACAGTAATAAACTAGATAAAATGAAGCTGATAACGTATCTCGGTCACGCTCCTGCCGCGCCAATATTACTGCAAGTCTAATGTTATAATTGGGGTTATGTTCCGAGGGGATGTTTTTATAATATTTTTCTTATATAAATAAATAGTACAGTACTGTTTTTCAATTAAAACAAAAAAATGTGAACAAATATTTTAGGGAAGAAGAAAAGGTCATATATTGAGAATTACTTCAAACTAAGCTTTTGGAGATAAAAAAAGATGAAAATGCCACAAATGATGTTAAACACTGAAATTTAATTTCAACAAAAAAATTTGAATTTTTTGAATGGAAAACTTTTTTGTTTAAAACATCAAGCATAGGACTCTAGTGATATTCACAGCTTGCTCCCCTTATTCAAAATGCCTCAACACATCAATTTTTAAATCTAAACTTATCACTTTTCCTTTGTCTTTCCTCTGTACATGATATCATTCCTATTGTACACTTGTTCACAGTTCTAACTATCTTTGCTTTTACTTCACCATTCTGTCATTATTAGAGACAATTCAGGGTAAAAATATGTGGTTGGGGGGGGGGGAATGTTCCGTGATATAAGTCAGTTTAAAACAAGTGTATCTAAGGAAAACCAATGTTCAGGAACACATCAAGTATGTTAAGTGTTCACTAAGGAGAGCTCTTCAGTACTGAAAATTATGTTGAGTTTAATCATGAAATTCCACCCTCATGCATGCCAGATAATTCCATCATTTTACTAAGTGATACAGTACTGTATCAACAAGTTCTCCATGATGACCAAAAATATTAATGTGCATAAACCTAAATACCTACTCGTGTGATAAACCTTTTCAAGGGACGGACTTCTTCTCTTCTACGCAAATTATGATCTAGTATGAGAAATAGAGAGGATTAAATAAATAACAAAAAAGTTCAAAAACAAATAAAATTTTGTCTTCCCTGAATATCTGCAAAATGGCTGAATGCTCACAGCATTAATCATTCAAGTAAAAATATAAGGAACACAATCAAGCCATTAACCCTTTAGATGATGCAGCACATGGAAAAGCCAGATACATATTGATAACAGATAGAATTGGTTTAGAGAAAGTAATGGCTAAGATTTTCAGTAGTGACAGAGCTATTGGCAAGTAAAAATTTATGATGTACTGTATTTCACACCACATAATGCAAGAAAAGTACCGATGCTGTACATTATATTTCACATGAGAGGTGCAAAGGATAACAAATCACATACTGAAATATGAGAAATTAAATGATATCCAAATTATATAAAACACACATGTTATCTACACCTGAAAGACAGGATACATTACTGTACTTACACCTCGCTGGTTAAGTAAAAATAAGTATTTACACCTCACATGCTGATACTGGTTTACAAGGCAACAAGGTGGTTGACAGCCATAAGAAGCATTTTGACCTTCTTATGGTTAGGATTTGCAGAGAGGTACGTGTGTAGGTTACGTTGAAATCCCTGGAGGACTGGTCTCATGTGCTCGCAGGTTACAGGGTGAGATGCATCCAAATTCATAACTGCTTCCTCCAAATACCTGATGACAATAAATTTGTTTACAGTAAGATGCTAATAGAGCACTGTATGCCAAAACCAATAAATATACTGTAATGCTTTCTCTGCATGCTGTAAGACTAAACAAGGTATCAACATTTCTTTGTGCCAAGGTTTAAAATGTCATCCATAATAAAAGCTTACAGATGCATTGTGGAAGAATCATAGCATCAGCAAAACATATTTGATAACTGATTCAAAGGAAAATAAGATGTTTGACCACTAGGATGCATTATTAAGTAACCAGGCAAGTTACCTCATGTGCCATTGCCAGAAATGGTTAGTATGATAGTAGACGGTGTGCAGTGTACTGTACCTTAAATTAATAGGAAATGGTTGAAGCCCTAGGAAGAACCTTACTACTGTAAAAGTGTACACTTTGAACCAACCTTGCATCTGAGCCAGAGAACAGATTCCCTGAAGGAAATACCTATGTTTTAGCCATAAAAAAACACAAAGCACACAGAATCCCCCTGAACCTAATAGAACAAGGACTACTGTATTTACACAGTTATAATCCATCCCCAACTGTAAGTTGCATAGTGAGTTTTACATATTTTTTCATGCAAAAAAGGATTGACCTCAATTCGAAGCAGCAAGCCTGCACAAAAAAACAGAACATAAAAACTTGCCAGCTGAAAATACTATTCATTAAGTAAATATTAATTCTTCTTCAAGCAATACATATCTTTGTGCACCATGTACAGTATATACAACAGAAGTTAGAAATGTTGAAGTTAGGTACCCAGTTCTTTGTGCAGTAGTTTAACCCTTGAACTACTGTGTGTCAGCTGGAACACTACTTATGTCACTGCTCCACGTGTCAATTAATGCATATACAGTAATCTCCCCATTAGCCAGAACAATTGGTGCAGAGCATTTCAAGGTTTGAGAGGTTTCTGGATAGTGAGATGAAATTTCTTATCCCTGGAAAACATCGCATACTGTATCTATGGAATTTTTCTAGGCACTGGTGAATGTTTCCACATCTAAACTATCCATTAAGCACAGAGTACCATACAGACTCTTAACTGCAGTTGCACAGACAAAGAGCTGTATTATTTTTGCAAACAGCAATGTACACATACAATATATTTTAAATAAATAAAATATACTACTGTATACACTACACTGTATTCACCCACAGATATTGTCGTCTTCAACTTGAGATGCAGGCAAGCAAAATGGTGATATGATGATACAGGATGGCCTGCCTTTGTCCTGTACCATCTACTGTAGAAGGTGTTAATTACTATCACTTTCCTCTCCTTCCATGAAGGAGAGATTGTACAAGCACTGTATACTGTACTATACATACATCTCTACACTCTAACCTAGCCTACAGTAAACATACACTGTCCACTCTGCCATGTGCAGTTGACCACAGTTCCACCTGTTACAGTGGTTGGCAAATTTTGTGAGGTGTGACAACTCTGTGTTTGTTTACATCAAAATAAAACTCATGGAATGGCCCTAAGAAGCCTCACAATAGTAGCTGAAAGCAAGTATTTCTTGCATGGTTATAGTTTTAATAACTTTATTTAGCTTTTCCTTAATGGTTTTTGCTGCATGTTTTCATCGAGACAGTATTTTCTTTAAGGTTTGAATGTGTTAAGTAGTAAATGACAGTAGTTGTGTATTATTTATCATTAGGTAGGTAGGTTTTTTTTATTGTTAGTTAACTGATTTAATGTTTTGGGGTATGATAGTGGGTTTTATTGTCAATGGGAACCAAACTCAAGTTAACCTATATGTTCTGATAAATACGCTACAATATTATTTACTAAGTGCTCAAGACTGATCCTGTGGTAAGCACCAGCCCTCTTGAGCAGTAACAACAATGGTGCTTGAGAGATGGTGAGTGCTGGCAAGATTGTTAGGGGGAGCAAGAATGATCAGCTGTTACTGCTCTGTAAACAAGAGACCAGGAATACTGTATAATACAGCAAAAATTTTGGTGAAATTGCAAGCTGTCGTTATAAAGGGATCACAGGCTGATGAGCACGGGAGGTAAGTTGTCCTCTCAGTGTAAACAGCACTCCTTCCACCCTTTATCTTTTTCATAATATATTTCTATAATAGTCATCAACTTTTCTGAACCACTCGATTATTTAAGATTAATTCCAAATTTAGATCGTTGAAATCATTAAAAATAATTAAAGAAAAAATAAAAAAAGTCTGAATAAATGAGTGCACAGTGTATGTTAACAACCAGCACACAACTTCCCTGAAATGTACACTAGTGCACTCTAAGTATAACATGCATGGGACTTGGTTCAGTCCTACTACTGTACTGCAATACCAACTAAAAAGACAGACAGAGATACTTGTCCACTACTGTCCCATAGGCACTTACAAATGCCAATGTTAATGCTGGCCCACCACAAGCTTTCTGAGAAACTTAACATCAACCTTACCCATAAGTGTTTTTATAAAAGAGCAGGAGTGAGTACACCTGCTACCCTCCTGGTGTTAGGTGAGAACTGGTCCAAGACTGTAACCCAGTTGGCTGTGGCAAAGGTGTGTGCTGGCTCTATTGGGTTTCCTACCTCTAAAGGCCAACCTTTGCTTCCAATCTCCTCTAAGAGTTATGTTTATGATGGAGAGAGATGGATGATGGTAAACTCTGTCCTGGGATAACACTGAAGGAGTCTATTAAGCTTGACCTAACAAGGTTTGGTGTGCAGAATGTTATGAAGGCTACCTGGCAGAGGGCAGTTGACCATAAATTATGGTAATTTATGGTTTGGTGGATAAACCTATTTTTTAATTACTTCTGTATTCATGTATTTGTAATTCTGAGTTTAGGTGAAGATCTTAAGAGACACAACATCACATATAAAAAGGTGTTTACTGTATCTAGTTATGAGGATTTCAAGGGCAATACCCATTTCAACCTTTTCAGTATGGGTAGATGCTTCAGCCCAGACCTGAAGATTCCACTCCCTAGAAGGTATTTTTCAACACTGCTGTAAAATCCTTGTACACCATCAAATGACTTGCTTTCTTAAAACTCATACAGTATACTGGTCATGAAATTCCAACATGTTCTAACGAAGATATTAAAAGTGAAGGAAAGCTTAACTTACTTGATCTTGAGATCTGTAAAGGTGGAGAGGTCATGAGATAACTGATTCACCAAGGAAAGAAGGACATCTTGACTAAGTGGGCACGGAGTCATATTGAAGACTTGTTGTGGGTTGACGCGCTCACACACGAATACAACCAGGCTCAAGTCAGATGCAGACAGTGCCTACAATAAAGAAATACATATAAACACATACGTACGGCACATTACAGCACCACATAAATAAACACACATGTACAACACAAGCATTAAAACAGTCTCTCCTCGACTTATGACAACCCAGACATACGACGGCCATGGTCGTATAAAATATTTTTCACGTTATTTATTTTCGAGTCCTGACGTTAGTGATCGCGCTGTGTACTGACAAAATTTTTGTTTGTAAATCCTTTTAAAATGGCTGGCAAGCGTAAAAGTGAGAGTTCTCATGGTGCTGAGAAGGAAAAGAGACACCCATTTTAAATTTTTATGTATTATTTTCGCCTTTTCGACTTACGACCTGGTCGTCGGGATGGAACCCCGTTGTAAGTCAAGGAGAGACTGTACTGTACAGTGGGGACTCATTTTACGCAGGTCTTGCATGAGCAGTTATCACGTACATGCTTGGTTGAAATGTGAACATAGTTATAGCTTAAGCGGAAAGCCAAGGGTAGCGCACGTAGCGCTATACCATTAATTTAGTGATCTTTTGCTTATTTAGGTTAAGTTGACAAAGAAAGTGGCTCTGGGTCACTCAAATTATTGAAAAATCCAGTGCGTGAGAAATGGTGAGTGCTGGCAACATTGTTAGGGAGAGCAGGAACGATCAGCTGATACTATTCTGTTCTGTAAACAAAGAGACCGCCATTGCTTATTTAGGATTGAATTATGGGTATTTTTGGGAAAATTTATTATTTTTTTGAAATGTTTTATTAACTCAGTGCCAAATAACCTAACTAATATGGGAATTATGGTGAGTTTGCATACTGCTATTATAAAGGGATCACAGGCTGTTGAATGGGAGGTGGTGTGTAGTCCTCCCTCCCGCCTCCACCACCACCTCTCTCTGACTACACACCAAACGTAGTTTTGCGCAGTATATTAATATAATTCATATTCTATTCCTATAATTCAATCATCTTAATCTATTTCATAATATATTCCTATAATAATAATAATCGACTTTTCGGAACTGCTTGGTTATTTCAGATTCATTCCGAATTTGAATCGTTTAATTCATTTTTGAGAAAAACATACTAATTAGCCGAAATCCGAATTATAACAATCCAAATTAACGAGGGTACAGTGTACTTCCTCCATGACAATGAAAATCGCTACTCACGGAAGAAGGGATCAATAGGGAGAGGAAAAGCTGCCACAAGTCACAGTAAATCACCCGAGTAGAATTAAGGCGCCAAACATAAATTATGGTGCAGAATGATCCCGATTATATAACTGACCACTGTCATTGTGGAACAGAAGGCACCCATCATCTACTTACAATCACCATCTTTTAAGGGTCACCTGGTAAGTTAAACCAATACAATACTAGCATGTGTTCAGGTACATTCACAAGCCAGTATATGCCCAGTACAGTACTTGATGAACAGAAGGGTGACTGATTGCCTGACAGGCTGGTAAACTCACAAGGGGTGAAGAGGATAAGGGCACGTCCACACATAAATTTGTTTGCAATCTCACCTAAATAGAGTACTAGTAACTGCAATATTTCAACTTTCTTGTTTATTATATATTAATGTAACTTCTTCCTTTGAGTACCGGTACCTGATGCTGGCAATTTTCAGGATACCATTATATATTGCAAGGGTAGAGTTAGCAAATTAAAACCAACAGAGTATAAACACAACAGATGATTTGCGTCAAATTAAATTATAGTTTGTCAGGTTAAAAAGGCCAGAGTTTGGAGATGCCAAAAATCAATGCACTGCTGTATTTCTATGTATAAGCTATTAACAAAATGTTCTATTAACATCACAGTGATGAAAAGAAAAACAAACTGCAACTGAACCCCATACATGTAAATACAGTAATCTGCTTCCTATCATTCACCTCCCACAACTTCCAACTGGGAAACTCAACCATTGCACTTGTTTTTCTTTTTATATACAGTACAGTACAACCAGCTAATATTTAAAAATTATTCACATACCTCTAGTTATGGCAGTCATCAGTTAAATCAGATACTGTATCTCTCATTTATACACTAGATGCAAAGTACCAAATATTTTCTCTTTGAGTATAGTATAGGGTAATAGGTTAGGTCAACAAAAAAATTATTTCATCGCTTTCCATACTTTTCATTCTGGAACACAGGATAAAATGTTTAGAAAACCTGGGTATGTCAACCCCCCACACACACACAATGAGTGGCTGAGGTATTTGCTCATTCTCAGATCCAACGGACCCAAGGGGAGCGATCATATTTTGGTTGACTGAATGTTAATTTAATTATTGTGTGATTATTTTCAAAATGTGTATTTCATCTAAAAAAACTAAAGAAGGAAGAAGAAAAAACGAAAGAGCACCTGTTTGAAGGCTGCGTTGAATTGTCCCTGTGAAATAAGTGCTTGAACTTGCTGCTGTGCCACTTTAGGGTTAAGTGTGTGTGATGTTGGGGCAGGAGTATGGGCACGACTTCGGGCATCAACTATTGCCTGGTGCTCTTGTAAAGCGTGTGTGACCTCTTCCCGTACCAACCCCCGTATTCGCTCACTGAGAGACTCTGTTAACCTGTAATATAAGAAACTAAATTATTTCAACTGCACCTCTCACAGCCAGAACTGTATAATTTCAAAACAAATATTACCATCCATAATATAGTTAAACAAATCAAGTAGTTCATCTAAAAGTATTATCTAAACAATTAAAATATTAGTTAAATCTACGATGTCTGTCAATCAACAGTATTTCTTAGCATAGACAGGCACACGATATGAGTGAAACTTTAGTACAGTACAGTAATCCTGAGGGTACAATCTCCACAAAAAATATTGATCATGGCTGCGTAATTGGGAGCATTTTTTATACTAAGATTAGATCCCGGCAACTTCCAACCAAATTGTATTAACCACAAATATTTTGGCTTGCGAACTCAGTGATACTTCCGGCCTCTATGCAAGAGATATACGTGAGGACAGCAGGTGTCAAGCTTTTGCCTGAGCAATTGCATCAGTTTCTGCAGAAATCTGATGGCAGTAAAAAAAAAAAAAAAACAGCATATTGGCATATTAGCCTATTTTTTTTCTCAGGAGTCACAATAGGTACCAAGAACATGGCTGAGAAGGAAAAGCACACATCTCGAAGGGAAATCCAGGAAGAGCCATAGCTACATTTAACACTGAAGCACACAATCTTACCCACCGATTTTATCCCATTTTGGAAATCACCTTCTAGGAGGCTCAGGAAGATCTTCAAGGACACTGGCATACTTATGAGACAAGAAGTGATGAAGAATCCAAATTTAGGCTTACGCATCTCTTGACCCAATTTGTTGCATCCATTTTCACCACATGCCCAAACCAACTCAGTATGCCTCAATACAGAAATTTGCAAATACTGTACCTGTATTCTAAATGCCCAGCTGCCCTTTTAACTCTGAACAGGGTCTTTCAGTCACATTACACATCCATCTAACAATTTTCCTTTCAGCTTGCTGAAGCTTGCTAATGTTATCCTCTTTAACTGCCCATGTTTCACTGCCATTAATATCACACTTCTCACACTAGCCACATACAATGTTCTTTCACACGGAAGGGAGGTCCTCTTGTTGTCAATAAAGGGCAGCTGCTCCCTAAACTTCCTCCAGCCACTTCTGTCATATGCAACTGAGCAAGCTTCAGCACCCCTACTGGCACTGATCATGTCACCCTGGTAACACAACTTATCAACACAGTGTTACGGTCTTGAGACTGGCTTACTGTCATTATATATTTTGCTTCTATTGAAATATAAGAGAAATCAAACAAAATACATCTAGGGAGTTGGGGGCAAGAGTAATAATTCCTGTATGTGAGAAAATCACTTGTCACCAAGTGCTCACGGTGCTACCTGCTACCTTCATACAAAACCCATGTGCTGTAACTCTTACATCCAAGAACCTTTTAGCAACTTTCTACACAGTTCTATATTGAAAAGATATCAACTGTATATAAAATACTTTTTTGTAAACTAACACATTCTGTTGAGCTGTCAGTTTGGTGATATTTTCTTGTAAAGACTTGGACTGTGTGTTTAGAGATGTGCAGGAAGAGTTGAGGGACTGTGCAGCCTTATTATACACCTCCTGTACTGCTGTCCGTCCTCCTTGTACCTCACTCTCTAAATTTTGAAGATCTGGAGCGAAATATTAAAATAAAATCAATAAAACTTTAAATATTATACAAAAAATGGTATAAATGTGAGTTGTCATTTATTTGGATGGTTTTTATATTCATTTGAGCCATAAGTTCTTTCATATCAACCTGTATGGTAAAGATGGTGGGTTCAATACGCACTAAATGTATAATTTCCTTGGAAGAAAGCGAATAATTTGAGTATAAACGTCACATAATTTGCACAAGATAAAATTTTTAGTCCTTTAGTGTAGCACAATTAAGTACAAAGTGAGTACAGTAATATGTTGCTCAAAATTATGGCTTTTTCACAATAAAAAGTCAGGTGTAACTAACCCCAGTGGTCAGGTGTAACTAACCCCAGTGGTCAGGTTAATATGTACCATATTTTTGGCGTGTTTTATATCATTATTTATTGTTTTCATACATTTAGTACATTCGACGGAAGATTCGGACAATCGGCTTCTATGTGCAGGTGGTCCCCTTTTAGTCCAGATTTTCGAGATTTCGTTGTATATCAAATAACATAACAAATGGAACAAATAGGTTTCAACTCCTCAATGACAAGAAAACCCTATTATTAAAAAGTCCGCGAACAAAAAAAAAACAACCAACTACTGTAGCTAAATTAGTTCCAAACTACAGTACGGTAATTTATTACTTAACTATAGTACTGTGTAGTAATTTTGTATGAAACTGTATACAGTAATCATTCCTTATAACAGAATTCCTTTTAGCGGAATGAATTTGTGTCGGCATTTGCTTCTCCATATAGCGGAGCCCGCCACTTAGACGAACAGTTTCCGGTAATGCCCACAAGAGCTCGCACCATTGTTTTGGTGCGATCAGTCAGTTTATTGCCTCGCCACACAGTGTTGTGGTCTCCCAGCTTTTTCCCGTATTGCCCCTGCATGTGTTTGTATGTGAAGAGCAATTTAAGTGAGTGCTTCTCCCAATTAGAAATTTTTATTATTTATTTTGCTAATATCCTGCAAGTACTGTGTACAGTATGTATGTGCAAAAGATGGTTGAGAATGTTAACGTTAGGTTCGTGATCTCATTGGTCATTTTTGCCAATTCTGATGGTTGTAAGATGGCTGACAACCTGCTTCCACTATCTCAGTATTTTTATGAGTAGTATGTTACAGTCTACTTACTGCCTAACCAATCAGTAACCATTAGAGTAATAAAAGAACTCTCCATAATATATGTAGCCAATCAGCTGTTAGATGAATATGCACGTTGCCATTATTACATGTAATGAATCTATAAAAATTGTGGACCAATAATCTCAATAGTTTAATGTGACTTAGAAATAAAGAAAATAAAATACAGATAGAAAAATCTCCCAGTTAGCCAGATGCTTAGAGAAAATATTAGTGTGTTTAACAATTTAACATTTATTTAAGCTAAGTGTATTGTTCGACACAAAGGCCTGTAAACACAGTCAAGCACCACACCAAGTCTAGTCAATAGCATACTATACATTGTTCCCAAATATCCGGGGAAAATGACATCCATTCTGGTGAATATCCATTATTGAGAATTTAGTGTACTGACAGTATATAAAAATGCATCATGACATTAATGTTTTCATTTAAGATTATTCTGTTAAGTGTCCGATAGAGTTTAATTAAGTATGAATAATACTTGTGTCATGGAACAATATTACAAACAGCAGTAAATTTGCTGGAGGAACCAACATTATTAGCCTGCCAGTCCCACTAAAAATGAATTTTTTATGGTTCATGGTTTCCAAATCATTCCCAAAAGAATCAAATAAAATAAAACTAGTTTGAGATACAAATTAGTAGAGTATTGCAGAGGTTAAGGGTTAAATTAACAATAACTTACTATTCATACCCATAAGAGTGATATTGATGAGTGAACTAAGTATATTATTTAACTAGCAACTAACGATTTATGAATAAATAAGTGAAGAAATAGTTTGATAGTTGCAATACTGTAGTGTACATACATTCTCTGGTGCCTCGACTAAAGTTATCATTAACTTGAGTGAAGATCTGTTGAGTAAGAGCATTGAGTCCGGGCAGAAGTATTTTGGTGTACGCTTCTCGGCAGGAGTTCTGCACTGTCATCACCAGCACTGAACTTAATGACCCAACAAGGTTGTCCAAAAATGACTGAAACCAGAGATACAAAACACATATGAAACACATAGGAATAAAGAAAAGAATTTATAAGAAAGGAATTTATAAGAAATTAAAGGGAGGGGCAGAGCAGCTCAGAAATAGGAATAATGAACTATCTAGGAATGTTAAGAAAAATGTAAGGAAGGCAAAGAGGGACTACGAAATCAGGATAGCAAGAGAATCCAAGACAAATCCCAAGGGATTTTCCAGGTATATAGGACAAAGTGGGACCTTTAAAGTCAGAGACGGGGGGAAGTGATCAATGATAATGAGAAAATAAGCAAATCATTAAACAGCTACTTCTTATCAGTTTTCACAGAAGAAATTCACGAGGAAATTCCATAGGTGGAACTGATATTTAGGGGAAATAAAGAAGAGAAATTAAAGAATATCACTACCAGAAAAGAAGATGTTCTTAAGATAAATAAATTAAAGAAGACAAAATCCCCAGGGCCACATGAAATTTTTCCTCGAGTTTTGAAAGAGTGTAAGGAACAGATAAGAGGACCACTCGTAAATATATTTACAAAATCATTAGACACGGGAGTTGTGCCAGACTTGTGGAAACAGGCAAATGTAGTACCCATATTCAAAAAGGGTGACAGAGCATCAGTATCAAATTACCGGCTGATTAGTTTGACGTCAGTAGTGGGGAAATTTCTTGAATCAATTATAGGAAATAGCATCTGATCGCATTTAGAGAAAAACAAATTAATCTCCGACTCTCAACATGGGTTTACAAAGGGAAAATCTTGTCTAACAAATCTGCTGACGTTTTTTAGAAAAGTCTTCGAGGTAGTAGATAATGACGAAAATTACGATGTTATTTTCTAAGATTTTAGCAAAGCGTTTGACAGAGTACCGCATCAGAGGCTTCTGAGAAAAGTTAAGGCTCATGGTATCGAGGGGAAAGTTTTAAATTGGATAAAATCATGGCTCACAGATAGAACACAGAGGGTCAGCGTAGAAAGTGTTAAATCTGAGTGGGGCTGTGTAACCAGTGGGGTTCCCCAGGGGTCAGTACTGGTGTAACAGCACCATTTGTATTATATAAACATTTACCCAAATATATAAAACCAAATTATTCACCAAGATATTCAACTGTGCCTCAGCTGTTGACGTTATGCATGGCTGAGGTTGCAGTTCTTTCGGGGAGCGAGCGAGGGCAGGCTGAGGTCAGCGCATGATAGCAGAACAAGATATCTGACGCGTTTCCTTTCTCACACTCCCGAGGCCTGCTCCTCCCTCTCTCTCTTGGTCAGAGAGATCAGACTCATATTTTTTGTTACCCAGAGAACACCTCTCTTAAGTGTTCTCCTGTGTACGTACACTAAGACATTTCCCCTAGTAAAGAAGGTATAATATATTCTCAACTGAACTAAGGACCTGTGGAACTATATTTTTCTACAATAAAGAAAAACCAACAAAGTGTTTACTTCAGCCCTGCCACTTATTAATTCCAGAACTAATATATACAGCTCCTCCCCGACTTACGACCACCCACACTGACGACCTGCCTCAGTCGTACCAAAATTTTGTCAAATTACGTATTTTCGAGTCCCAACGTCAGTACAGAGAAAATTTTCGTTTGTAATTCACTTTAAAATGGCTGGCAAGCTTAAAAGTGAGAGTTTTGTGGTGTTGAGAAGAAAAAGAGAGACCCATTTTAGATTTTCTATGTACGTACTTTATTATTTAAGCATTTTTGACTTACGACCTGGATTTGGGTCCCTAACCCCGTCGTGGAGGAGAGGAGGAAGGGGAGAGGAGGGGAGGAAGGTGAGAGGAGGGGAGGAAGGTGAGAGGAGGGGAGGAAGGGGAGAGTAGAGGAGGAAGGGGAGAGTAGAGGAGGAAGGAGAGAGGAGAGGAGGAAGGAGAGAGTAGAGGAGAGAGGAGAGGTAAAGTTTACATCATGAGGAGTTGTGTTACGAAAGTTCTTGCGACATTAATATTTAAATAACTGATAATTTTAATACTTAGAAGAATAAATCAAACATAACTAAAACTAATAGAATTTCAATAAAATCTGCAGGAATTTCTTCAACAATTATATAGATGTACTGTACATAGAAGATGAAGTATATCTTCCTGGCGTCTTGATGAATACATTGCAGAACAGTTGACAGACCAGTGTTGAGTAGTCAGTTTGTATTATACCTTGGCCAAAGCTGGGAAGATATGTCATTCTCTCACTGTACACCAAGCATTAATGTGTCTGTAAAATCTGCACAAGGACTGATGTACGGGTCAGAAGCGTGGACACTTTCAGCAGACACCAGAGAGAGGTTGGCGGCCTTTGAAATGTGGTGTTATAGATGATTGTTAAGAATAAACTACACTGACAGGTAAACAAATGAAGAAGTACTAAGCTCAGCAAAAACTTCAAGAGAAATATTTAAAATGAAAAATTTGATATTTTGGTAATATAATTATGGATAGGGGAATAATAACAGAAATATTAATGGACAAAGTTTAGGGTAGGAGGACCAGGGGAAGGTAGAGACTAGGATGGGTGAATGAAATAAAAAACTTGGTCACCAGAGACACAAAACCTTAAGACATCGTTTAGAGTAGAGGACTGTGGTCACCAACCCTCAGATATGAGGACTGTACTCTGATTAAATGGTTGAAAATCTGCCTTCACTTTTTCATTATAATAATTAGTTATATGTCCTTACCCTCAACAATATTAATATTTGCTTCTTCATTATTCAAAAAATATACAAATCTTTGAAAATACATTATATATACTCACTCTTGTATGAATAATTTTGGAGACAGAGTCTATGACCTGACCTTCAGCAGTCTTGAGTAGTCCTTGCATCTCTTGGGAAACATGTGACTGCAGAGGCTCTAAGCTCTTCACAACACCTGTAACAACATGGTATAATGATCACATAGTTCAAGGTGCCCTATAATATCAGCAGTGTGTATCTAGGTAAATAATTCACCGGTCTGCATGAATTTTGATGTTTTCAAACTAATATGTGTTTCCCTAACCTGTTTTTAATGTTGATTTCAGACATGACTTTAGTTTTCGACTATCAAGCAAGATTTATTGACAAATGGAATACTTGAGACAAAGGCCATTGATCAGTGTCGCATCAGCAGCTGTAGTGTTAAATCTCCTTGTTTTGCTCTACTAAGCTACTATTGCTATTGTAAATGTGTCTTCTCGCGGTGAATTCACTCTTCAAAATGCTATCTTAAATATGAACATATTCAGACTTGTGACCTAACACAATAAAAATATTTAAAGCCCTTCTCATATCTGTTCATTTGACATAACATTATTATCCTAACAGAAGGACTGTAGATCATGTACACTGAGGTCACTTTCTAGAGAACAGTGTTACCAAGAATGATCTCATGATTCAGCTTAGTATGCAAAGTAATTCTACCTCATTAATGAAGCTGACAATAATGTTACTGTACTAGATAAGGAAGTGAGAGTGTAAGGACTATTTTTATTTTTGATTCAGTACTACTCTGTTCTGCCCCCCCCCACTTTTTTCTTAAGTATTTGTATTCTTGGATCAACCCAAAACAATAGTTGGAAAAAGGAGAAATGACAACATACAGACAGATTGTCATTCATTATTTTCACAATCAAAATACTATCATAAAATTCTATGCAAACAATAAATGTTATATAATCACAGAAGACCGGTAATGTGTAATGTGAAAACAAACTAGACTATTATTACAAACTCCATGAAAACAAATAAGGATGTGTGAAAAGCATTGTCTTGTTGGCTTAGTTGCTAACCAGAAGGATGGGGGAAAATGGGGCTCTCAAAATAGACAGACAGACTTACTAGGGTCCTTGAGACCTTAGAGACCCTAGGTGGCAGCCAGGGTTTATCTACTCAATATTACCCTTCCTCTTCCCCTCTACCATTGGTCTCAAATAAGGAGGCATTATACAACAGTGATCCCCAGTCAGCACTTAGGCACCTGTACTACCCACCTCACTTCTGGTTCCACTAGTAAAAGGGATTTCAGGATCAATCCTCCATTTATTACTATCAACCTGAAGCCAATTAAAACAAGGAGATGTGGTGGTAATATAAAAGCTCCCAAACTGAAGAGCTAAATATCCCCTACAATAATATACCTATGATATTCACTGGGATGGAAGGTTCAACTCTCTCACCTAACAGGACTGGTACCGTATTTTGATTAATATAAGCCTTTAATTATAAGCGGCAGACTAAAGTTTGAGGAGATAAGAATCATATTCACATCCAAAAATTTTCAAAACACAAGAGATACGTACGTATATTATATTGAGTACAGGTAACCTCGGTAACATGAACATTCTAGATACAAAAAATTCGCTCAAATGAATTTCATAAATTGACACCACTTTCTTGAGATACGGAAGTTTTCCCTGCTTAAACAAATTTGGGTCTGGGCAAAAATTCAAATTGTGTGCCAGGAGTCAGCTAGCATGGCCATCTTGGGGAGAGATACACAGAGTAAAGCCCTTACTGAGCCCACCCCCCATGTGTTAGGTAGTAAATGTGCAGACTGTGAGAGGCAGGCGACGGCACAATGAGGGAGGTCCAGGTGACATCCTCCCCCTACTGGGCCAAGCTGTGAGTTGAGTTGTTGTTATTTTACAACTCGTTTTTCTGGTAGATATAGCGATGTAATTTTATTTTTACTTTTACATTAACACACAATCTTCATACAGAAGGTGCAAAAGAAATTATAAAATAGTAATCAAAAGGTCAAAAACATAATAGAATTAATCATATGTGTGTAGAAGCAAGCAATGAGGGTGGGAGGGAGAGAGCTACAGCTGACGTTCCCTCACTCACTGCGCCACTGTTTCACCGTCTCCTGTTAAATGGCAACACAGTATATTTTCTTTTATTTATTATGATTATTATTTATTCCCCACATTTAATGGTACAGTAGCTATACATAAATTACTTTATGTACAAAGAATCAGTTCATCCACACTCAAAACTCCCATGCATTACAATACTGTACTCTAATATGACTTAGAAATAAATGATATATAATATAAAATAAGACAATGAAGATCATGGGTGTGTATAAGTGAGAAGTGAACGTGTGTGGAGGAGGTTATAGTCAAGGCCTTGGCTATAACACCCATGCTCTTTGTTGTCTTATTTTATATTATATTTCATTTATTTCTAAATCACATTAAAATGTTGTAATAATTTTTCGACAACTTTTATAATTTCATTACAAGTAACAGTAAAAGCGGTGATGTACGCTTGCAGTACGAGGGGAAGGGAAGGTCAAATAATATGTCCTAAAGGTTTAACATCAATTCAGTAAAGGTGCTGCTGTATTACAAGAGAGTTGCGGGAAACACCCAGTGCTTTCTCCCACCATAGTGCAGTCATGGCCATCTACTAAACTAACACTGCATTTAAGATTCTTCAGTGAAAAAGTATTACTGAAGATTCATTAGTATAGGATTTCAAGAAATTTCCATTTGTAAATATAACTTTTGTGATGACCTAATTCCTAGACTTACCTGGCAAGACAGTACCTCTTAACTCAGTTCTTAAAGTAGACTCCACCAGAGGCCTTAGTGAAGCAGCCACAATATGAGGCACCTCCATTTGGACTTGTGCCTGAGCTGACTTCATCTCTTCAACCCTGTCAAGTTAGAAAGTAATATATTTATTTTAATAATGTGTGTGTGTGTGTGTGTGTGTGTGTGTGTGTGTGTGTGTGTGTGTCATAAATATTATGCAAGTTACCATTATTACCTTCACATAAACATAACTGTCACTTAAATCAAACAATAGGGAAAGAAAAAGATTATGTAACAAGAAAGTGATACTTACTGTTTGGCCAACTGATTAACTTGCAAAATTGCTGTGTCCAGTTTGCTAGTTAGCATACGAGTTTGAGTCATTACTTCCTTGTTCTGCTCTCTATTTAAGTTGACACAGGTAACCATCAGGTTTTTCAAATCTGCTATGTCTGCTGCACTCACTCTGTCAATAGTTTAAATATTATAAATACAGTAACATCTCCATTAGCCGGAATCCCTCGAACCCGGAAATCTCCGATAGCCGGAATTGAAATTTGCTCGGAAAATCATTCCCAAAGCCGGAACTTTCCAAAAATTTCTGGCTTTAGGAACAAATTTTCCGAGGTTGAAAATAGAGATATTTTCTGAAAATGTCTTGAATAAAGATGAAAGTTAAAGTATTTTTTAGGGGGAACTGACCTGATTCAATGTCAGGTGGAGGTTGGGTGGGGGATTAGTGGTCTCATATAACTGACCTTCTGATGGAATGTCTTATATTTGGCGTAAAATATCGTGAATTTTGCGAGATCCAGCCAGCTGACTGCTGCCCACTGTCTTGAGTGACATCACAGCCCTCACACCAGTTACAGTCATTTCTGCTACAGCGCGTGTTTTGTCAAAGCAAATTGGTTGCAACGCGATTGATGAATAGGGGAACGCTGTTTGTAAAATGCGAACTTTTGCATACGAATGTTGGCTATAGCACGATTCCATCCTCAACGTTTTAAGCGTGGCACGGGGTTATGCAATGTTTAGCTGTTACCCATAAATACTGTATGAAAAGAATAACTAAAAAGAATGTTTCGTGGCGAGGACTAATAACGGTTTACACCAGCGCTCTCTGTTTACATCACGTGATCAGTTGAATCGCGCGGTTTCTGTCAATCACTTCGTGACTAACTATTTTTTCCAATTTTGTTGAGCTAGCGATTAATACGGAAAGACAAGGTAAGTAGAATGTTTCAAAGAAGCGTTATGGTGATCGAATTGCCGGTGGTGAACGTAAAAGAAGTTTACAAGAACACAACTATCGCGTTGTATCCGGCGCCATCCTAGCGACCGCCCGGGCTGTTATTGTGTGCTTTTTTGGGTGGTGCTCCACTTGTTGAGTCAAGATAATGACCTCTCCCTCTACTGGGGGTCCTGCTGGTGCTGGTGGGACAGACCCACGTAAGCGGCCAGATAAGGAAAAGGAGAAGCGGGATTATAATAAGGGAGTTGAGTTTGCCAAGTACTCGATACAGGATAAGCAGCGTGTGATTAAATTACTTGAGGAAGGCCTAAAAACTAGTTTCCGGAAAGCACAATCAGGTCAATAAAGGCAGAATTTGTATCATTTGGAGGTTATAAATGGGAAAATCAGAGGTTGATGTAGAGTGGCCAGCCTATATTGTTATTTTTCCCATTAGTTTATGTATTTGCATTTGGCACAATTTTTCCAGTCTATATTACTCGTGAAATACAAGATATTACTGTACATTAATGCAGCTCACCATCTCCCTCCCTCCCTCCAACATGCAGCACATTCACCTTCCTTCCTTCGCTCTCTCTCTCTCACACATACACACACACATTTCCTCTCTCTGAAGATTGTTTCGTTAAACACACGTATTTAATAGTTTATTAAATTACTTTTGTACACATGTGCCAGACCTTCGTTGCATCATAATTAAGATGTTTCTCCTCCCTCCCAGCCTCCAACCTCACAAGCACACATGCACTTATATAATGGGGGTATGGGAAAATTGACAAGATTTTATGGAACCTAAACCTTCAATATATATCCGGGGGATGCCTGTATGTGTGTACCAAGAGCATGTCTATCAAAAAAAATATAAGAAAATCAGAAAACATTTTACCCGATTGATTTCCTCAACATGATTTTGCATATGCTTTCAACACTGAAGGAAGCAGTGACATGCACTATGTGGAACAAGCACCTGCTCAGTACTGTATGTAGGTGTGGTCGTGGTCAGTAATGAGGAAATTGGTACCTAGAAACCACTTATGACCAAGAAGGAAATGAAGGGCAACATGTGGCATCATGGGCACACTAGTGTTCTTTCCTCTAATCTACCAGAGGGAAAAACTTTGCTTCTATTCTCCTTTCAGGACAACAGTTGCAGTAGGGATGACAGACAAATTGTAAGAATACTTTCAGCCATTAGTATCACATTTAACAGGTCCTGACCAATGGTTTATTGAGTACACTGAAAGGCCACAAGATATAGAAATGTCCCTATGTCCCGTATATGAGAGAATATAAAACAAATAATTGGACACAGTGTAGGACCTTAAGACTTTCAAGTTCATATTTAAAAAGGCCATTAATGTAAAAGAGTTTTAGTGGACAACAGTCAGGACATGTTTCAAATGAATATGATGCAATAGTTTCAAATTTATTCACTATGGAACTTTGGTATTTATTGATTATTCAACTTTTGTGTATGAATGTCCACTTTGCTTAAAAAATGTATTTTCAATACTCTGGCAACTTCATCCACCCATTAAGTCCAACCATATAAAATCATAAAAACACAATTAGGAAAATTCTATATGGTGCTTACTCTGGGGTTATGGGTCCATTGAACTGGTTCTGGTCAATACAGCCTGGGTTTCTTACATCAGGGGCACATCTGTTTGTTGACTTAGTTTCACAATTCATAGAACTACAGTTCCTTGGTCGTTTGGACTGAAGATTACTGAAAACATAGTACAGTACAATATGTGTCAAAAACAATAATCAAACATAATGAAGATACATAGTCAAAAGTGACTCGGTGTTGTATGTCAGCATAGTTGTCATAACTATTTTTAGAGAATGAGGAATAAAGGATATTATAGAAGGGTCATTTGAAGATGACACATCTCTCTGGCCCTACTGATGAGATGAAGGTATGGATGTAAGGATATACAGTACTGTAAAACCCAGAATACCAACTAAGCCACAGCGATGTGTTTACTTAGACGGAATCCGTTATTCTGGCATCTATATCAGAGGGGAGGCACAACTGTTCAAAACACCAGCCAGCATATTACACTAACACAGATTGGCTTACTTAAGCTCATTATAAATTTGCCATATGGCATCACAAAAATTGTGACCAAGTCCCAGGTTGCTGATCTGACTTTCTGCCTCATTTACACACAATTGCAGGGTCTCAATTGTTTCTCTTACTTTGTTACCACAACTTACACATCAATTTCTCACTCTTGATTTGTTGAAATTTTTCCATTTTTTGCATTTTGGGTAAAAAAAAATATATACATATACATATATATAAATTAATAATATTTACCCCCCAGACCCTGGTGTGGGTCGGTGCTCTGTGCCTTGGTGGGCTAATCCCCGTAAAATAAATAAATATACAGTAAATAAATAAATAAAAAGTAAATTGATCAAACTTATGATATATTTTCAGTTAATTGCCTTTTTTTTATAATTAGTGTTAAATAGATGTAGGTAAGGTTCAAGAAGGTTTCAAAGCCACAAAGATTTTTAAAGATTCTCAACATGTGTGAACCTGGCATAGATAACCTTGTGAAGTGTGCGAGATAAAGTGGATGATGTGCATATGGACAGTATACTGTGCCGTAATAAACAATGAAAATAATACACAGCACATCATAAAATACACTTGCACTTATTTTATGTACCAAAAATTGCTCCTTCCACCCTTGAACTAACCTATGAGTGACACCAAGAGTGGACATGTTCAGCCAGCCAGCTGACTTGAGAGAAGCGTGGCTGCCGTGTATGTCATGACTTCACACTGGGGAGAGCCAATAGTGTGACCCATCCATACACACGTTCACCTCCCACACAAAAATACTATTTACACTAATGCTCTTCATTATTCTTTTAGTTTTTTATTGTTTCATATTATATTTCCTTTATTTCTAAGTCACATTAGAGTCGTGAAATGATTTTCCCACAAGCTTTAAAGTTTCATTACATGAATCAGCGGCAACACGTATAACCATCTCAAGGCCACAACTGCCTGGTGACGTGTGTTATGTAGTAAAGATTATGAGGGTGTGAATGGGACCCACTTTCGATTTCAGTGGATCACACTTACGATATATTCTCTGTAAATTCAGTTCCAAATTTCTGCATTATTTCTTTGGGGTCTTACCTGAACATACTTGCTTAGGCATTTTTCTCAAAATGTGTGTTATTTATATGTCACGAGAGTAGAGGCATTTCTGCATTGAGCACTAGCCACGTGTAGACGAGTGCAGCGGCTGTGATGCGAGCTGGACTGACAGGACCATGTGATCCCTGCTGCATCGCTCCACAATGACCGGCAAGATATGCGAGATACCTTTCTGTACCTGAAATAGCTCACTATTTTTTCTCTATTCAAGTTTACATTTATATCTCCTTGTTTTCTTTCCATACTTATTTTTTCTCTTCACCTTTGTTCACTTTCACAAATGACTTTCTCTTATAAGTCTCATTCCCTAACTCAAACTTTACACTAAAATTTGCACATTTTCTTGACGATCAGCCTCCAAATCAGTGTTACCTGTAAAATGTACAAACTCATCTCCCATCTGTACCCCCTTATGGAGTTACTCGGGGATTTTACTACATGAACTCGAGAGTTAAACCATCTTAGCATGTGCATACCATCCATCCACATACAATAGAGGCACATTTGAATTACTGCATGGCACAACAAATTGATGAATTTATGTGGTGCATGAATATACTATTCAAGGGTTTCTTCTACATAATTTCATTATCATCCCCTTTTTATCATTCATTAGAAGCAAAATTTTCATTTTCCTGTGTTTTGGGTTTAAGTTTTATGAGCTGCAGAATAAAACCCCTGATAATTGCACAAATAACTGGAAATATATCCCGTTTAGAGAAGTTTTTCGAATCAAAGGAACTTCTACAAATACTGTAACCAAATTACTTATTGACTATTTTAGTTACTCATCAATTAATCCAGTTAAGGGAGAACTTAGTGTATTAGTAAACACAAGTTGTTTAGCAAAGAGACTCAGTTACCTTTGATGAGTGGAGGAATTTGAAGAGCCAGAGGAGTCTGAGGTGACTGCTTCACCTTTAATCTCTGCTTCAAGTTGAGCACAGGTTAGCTGAGCTGGTAAAGTTTTCACTGATTTCACTGAAGCAAAACTAATGAGAAAATTCATTAACATTAACAGAGAATAATATATATTAAAATATACCAGATAAATGGTCCAGTACCTGAACTGTAGTAGATGAGGGAAGGGATAAAATTGTTTGGGCTCAAATAATTTTTACAGTCGTTCACCTAAGAAATAACAAGACAGATACCAGTCATGGCACTATACTTACATGTCCAGAGGTTGTGAAGTTGTCTGCTGGGCATCATGAGTTGGTGGCTGCTGAGGAGGTGAAGATCTCGGAAGGTGTGCAGGCCTCAAAGACAATTGTGGTAGAGTATTTAGGAGTTGTGGTACTGACTGTGACATAGATGATGGTGACTGTTGCAGTGATGCTGGTAGCTCTTGCAATGATACTGGTGGCTGTGGCATTGATACTGGTGGCTGTGGCATTGATACTGGTGGCTGTGGCATTGATACTGGTGGCTGTGGCATTGATACTGGTGGCTGTGGCATTGATACTGGTGGCTGTGGCATTGATACTGGTGGCTGTGGCATTGATACTGGTAGCTCTTGCAATGATACTGGTGGCTGTGGCATTGATACCGGTGGCTGTGGCATTGACGGTGGTGGTGGTGATGGTTGAGGTAAAGATGGTGGTGGTAATGGTATAGATGTGGGAGGTTTTACTAGGGATGGTGGTGGCTGTGGCATGGGTTGAGGTTCTGGCATAGATGGAGGAGGAGGAGGAGGAGGGTGGGAGTGAGACTGTTGATGTGATTCTCGTTCTTCTACTTCTTCTTCTTCTTCTTCTTCGTCTTCGTCCTCCTCCTCCTCTTCTTCATCATCATCATCTTCAGCCATCTCAACTTCATCTCCAGCTTGCATATCCTCATCATCGTCTGCATAATCCTCACTCTTCCCTAAAAGATTTACCATATTAAATGTACAAACAGTGAAATAACGCAACACACCTGTAATAAATATATTTACCAGTACCTGTAATAATTAAAGCAGTAGGATATTGTTACTCTCGATTATATTCATTAAAAAGGTGTGTATTGGTTTGTGATTGACATAGATTAATATTAAAGCAAACATTCCTTGATTAGCATAAATGAACTAAGGAGAAATAGTTGTAGGAGCTATCAATACCCACTACAGTATTTGCTAATACACTGGAATCTTTCTGATGTTGAATATATTAGGGAGACCACCAGTGATGATGGTAGCCATCAGCCAGGGCCCTGCTGTTTAATATTCATGTGAATTAAATCTGAGGACATATGAGAGGGGTTCCCAGTGTTAATCTCAAAAGAATAGAAGGATTGGTTACAATGTTAAACTTCCAATACAACAAATGTTCAGCAAGTAACCATCATATGATCAAACTATGACCACAGAAATAATCAGTTCTGATATTGTAAAAGGAGGAATTTTCAGTTCTTATCCAAGGTGAATGATGCTGCTATTAGTTCAAAGAAAATGGTCAACAACCTCAGAGGCAGAAAAGATTGACCAGTGAGCAAATTATAAACAGATTATTATTGGTCACTGATGTTGTTTACATCACTTTAAGCTAGGGTTCCATAAGCCTTGCTAAGGGCTCCTATGGCCCAGATTTGTAGAATAACTCATTTTATATGACTTGGCAACTTGTGGCTATTAACAGATGTGTGTGTGTGTGTGTCATGAGGAGAGGAACGTCGTGTTCCCGCCTTCCACGCTGCAGAGTTTCCGTATCTCCCAGTGAAAACTTTCAGTATGCTATCCGACATGCACCTATGTGCTTCCAGTGTACATAATATATTCAATATATAGAACCGATTTTATATTTATACTGATAAGTAAATAGCGTAAGGAAGTGTAGCAGACAGTCTGGCACCTCTGAGCGACACTGCCTGCAGGGCAACGCCCGACTGCCCAGGATCTTTAAACCAGGTAAGGAGCTTATAGGTATGCTTTTCACTGTTACCATATGACTTTGGAGGTCCTTTGGGGTTATTTAAGCCAATAAAAAAAAATAATGACAATCTTTGACCATCTGAGCACAACCTTAAATTAATTAACAATCTATGAATTAAGATGTGAAGACTGATACCAGGAGTTTTCAATTTTAATCCTTAAATGACAGGAAGCTTTCTATTGGACTACTGTATTTGCTTTGATGGGGAAAGAAGAGGGTTTTAAAATGAGGGTAAAACTACAAATACTTTGTATGAAAAACACAAGTTTTGCTCACTTAATACATTGGTGTAGTCAGACTTCCTGTACACCTAATGAGAGCCACAAAAAATGGGATAAGATACTGCACATGTAACCAGGTGAGGGTGGGGGGGGGGGTATTGCCATATGCTCCAGCTTAGTACCTGTTTTTAAAACCGATTCATTATTATCTTCTAGTACAATCAGCCTCTTATGGTGTACAATTCATCATAAACAATATAAGACCTTCAATATTATTTAAAAAAAACAGTAGAAAAAATATCAATATATCATTTGTAAATTGACCTTAAAATGAAGTGATCAGCTGTATTGGAAGGTACTGTACTGTATCACCTTCTTTATCCTCAAGACCAAATGGGTTACTGGTAAAATAAAATAAGGTTTGGTTCCTGAATAACAAATATACCCCAAAGTCATGAAATCAGTTCAAAAACAGGAACAAACCCTACCTAACTACTGATAACTAGTACACAACTACTGTGATTTATTACCTAACACAAGGAGTTACCCCTTAACCTTACCCAATACAGGGTAGTTAACGCTTACCATTTTCCGAGTGAAGTATCTGCTGGACTTCTAATGACGGTGAAGATGTTGCACTGGTACCCACTCGTCCCACAGCAGTTGACACAGCTGCCTCAGAGGTGGCTAGGGGGGCATCAACTTTATCCTGTTAAAATATGTTCCTTTGTTAATGTGGTGTCAGAACATGGTTGGTGTAGCAGGGTATGGAAAATCCTTTTAGTTAATATTTTTACAAATTTTATTATTATTATTGATATTATATTAGTTCTTACACAATAGATTTTAAAAATGTATTTCTTAATGTATTTCAACATTAAATCAATGCATAAAAACTTCCGTATATATTTGTGTATAAGCCTACCTCACCCGACCTCGGATATTGTGGTAAAAAATAAAAAATAAATAAAAAATCACATGCCTCGTTTAAAATATTTATCCCTAGCTTTTGAGAAACATTAGGTAAAATCCCAGACATATTTTGTAGCAAGACACCAGATTCCCACCAATGCATGTTGTCCTTGATCACCACCACAACAGCTTACACTATGAACAATGTTACCCACTCTGAGGCAGAATTAGCGCGATGGTTACGTTCCTATTGAACTGTATATCAAATTACACCTACATCAAAGGTACTAACAAATTTAGTAAGAGATATACTCAAAGCCTGATCAATGCCCTGAAGGAAAACTCTACTTGCAACAGCATGGATGGCTATGGGGTCTCCCCTTTGGGGGTCCTGTTTACCAGGCTTTCATGGCACATGTGGAGGCCACTACCCAATAAGTGACACCTCCAATATACCATAAGTATATTGATGATATATTTGTATGTGTTGACGATCAGGCAACATTAGAAAAACTTCGTACCCGGAAATCTCAGGATTGAGATTTACTCTGGAGATGAGCGGTAATGGTAAAATTCCATTCCTGGATGTTCTTGTCAATGCTGCTTCTGGTAGCTTTGTTACGGATGTGTACAGGAAGCCAACTGATGTGGGTAAATGTATGAATGGTGCTGGTGAATGCTCGAAGAACTACAAGTTGGTTGTCATCAGAGCATAGGTGAGACGGACGCTGAACATCTGCTCAACATGGCAACTTTTCCACAACGAATTACACCGAGTGCATTAAATACTTGTCAATAATAATTATTTTAACACAGATATTGACATTGTCATAACCAATGTCATCAATGAGCATTTACTGTATCTAGACAGACAGAACAAATGGGCATGAAGGAGACGAGAAAGCCATTTATAACAGTTTTGAAGAACTGTAAACAACAACAACATTCCCACAATGACCCAAACATCGGCACCAGGTTCCCCCCCTCACCCCTTCATTAAGGAGGTCAGAAAGGATTAGGCTTACCCAACCTGGCCACAACAGCACACCTTCATTGTGACCTCATTCTCACATTCATGACCTGTCTGTATCGTCTGATGCTTCAGTCAGTTCCCTGCAGCCCTAGAGTGTAGGCCTGTGAATTGACTTGTATTCTTTTATAAATTATTTTAAAAGAGTTTAATAGACTAACTGACTTCTGTACTCAAAATTGTTATTATACATTCCCAAAGATGCCTCCTTGTAGGTGAAATGTTGAATTAAAAATGAACAACTTTGATAACCAAGTGTTCGAACATCCATCTCATGGAATAACAGTGTTAAGAAAACTAGAGAATATAAGAAAGAAGATAAACGACTGTGAATATGCTGTCATGTTTAACTCAGTGTATGAAAGAATCTAACAGTGAGTGAGCCTAATCTATCAAGCATCTGCAAATAACAAACCTGAAGACTTTGTGGTGAAGGAGTGCCAGAGGGAGGAGGTGGTAATACAGCAGAGGGCGGTGATTTAGACGATCCAGCCACAACTGAACCCAGTATACTAAGGCCACTATTGTTTTCAGAGTCACTACATGGCATGAGATTTCCTGAGCCACAGCGTAACAATAATGACAAGGCAGCAAACTCTTCAAAGGGCACATCAAACTTGGTGGTCGGGACTGGAGTGACCTGGTAAAGCAAGAAAGTCCAGTTAACCTTCACAATAAAGAGGGAAAGAGAGACACACACACACTGTACTTTATTGCCGTAGTATGTAAACCTAAAGGTCCGTATTCATATCAAATGGTAGTATTAGATGATCAGATCTACTAGAGCTAGTTTACGCTTTTCATTACATTAGATATTAAGTACTGTAATGTTTATTTTTTGTTTTAATCTGAATTTTCGACTGTAAACTTAAGCTTAACACAAGTTACCACGAAATACTAACATTGTTTACCTCACATGATACACAACAAATAATATTAAGGTCTATGTAACCCTGAAATCAAACTATTTACAAAGATCACACATTGTTTCTCTTTCTATAAATACAATTACCAAAATGTGGAAGAGTCTACAATCATAACACTCCACACTCCCCTTACTTGTATCACCATCATGTCTACAATCATAACACTCCACACTCCCCTTACTTCTATTACCATCATGTCTACAATCATAACACTCCACACTCCCCTTACTTCTATCACCATCATGTCTACAATCATAACACTCCACACTCCCTTTGCTTCTATCACCATCATGTCTACAATCATAACACTCCACACTCCCCTTACTTCTATCACCATCACGTCTACAATCATAACACTCCACACTCCTCTTACTTCTATCACCATCATGTCTACAATCATAACACTCCACACTCCCTTTGCTTCTATCACCATCATGTCTACAATCATAACACTTCACACTCCCTTTGCTTCTATCACCATCATTTTTATGGCTTGGCCCTATGATTTTTGCTAAGCCCTACCCTAAAAAAAAAAATAATAAAAATAAATAAATAAATTCCTACTGTACTTTTACCACACACCCCTTGTACATTATCTCATTCTGCTCTTCTATTTCACATAAATAACTTTCTCTTGTAAAAATATGTCCATTTTATATAAAGATATTTTAATACAGGTACTATGACATTGCCAACCTACAGTACCTTGTTTGGGATGGACCCGTCTTCACTACCATCTTCAGCGTGATCAGAATCCTCAGGCTTACGTGGAGAGCTGAATGAGTCAGGTGTCAGGAGGTTCATTGCTGGCTGAAATAAATTGTAACAATTAATTTTCTAACCCAAAACTCACAGAAAGCAGGTGGGCTAATCTCTGTAAAAAAATAGTAAGGGAAACAATGGCTCGTGCTCTATACTTAGACACAAAGTTTAAGGGAGAAAATGGAAAATTCTTTAACATCAGCCTTGAATGTTATACAGTATAAACAATTTAAAGCTATTGACCCTTTATTCAAAAGATACCTGTACTTTAATCAACATCATTAACAACATACCAGTACTGTATATACTGTACAGTAACTCTCGCCAGCTCAGACCCCTTTATCTAAGGCAGGGGGTCGGTTCTTGAAACTTTTCCATCCATCTTGTTCACTATCCCAAATGGACGGAGAAGCGTGTCTCCGCGAAATGTTTAGAAGTCTCCTGGGCTGCACACAAAGATTCAGGAAGGGTCTTAAGTCCTGACATACATGGCTTGTGTGACCTCCCAGGTTGTGTTGTTTGAGATGAAGTGGATGTGTATTGGAGATGGTGTGGATGTGTTGAGATGGTGTGGATGTGTTGAGGAGATGGCATAGATATATAGTCAAGGTCAAGTAAGTTTCATCCATCTCACTGTAACTGCGCTAAACTGCATACAACTACGATAAACCTATTTGTCCTGAAACACCACAGTGCTCGTTGACGTTCGCTGCTTGCTTTTCTTTGGTAGTTTTGCTTAGATTGCAGTAAAAGCAGGTTGTTGTGTTTTGTACAGTGACATAAAAATTACTTGTACACCATGATGGCATTGATGGTGTTGATCCAGTGTTGAAACTCATAAGTAGTCTCCCATAGATCCATTACAAGCCTTCTCAAGCCTCAAATTAGAGAGTTTAATTGTAAAAAAGGAAAGTCTCAGCTATGTTATAGATAGGAAACCTTTTTCACTACAGTATGTCTGAATGGAGTTAAAGTGATACTGGAAAACAGAATGGAATATTTTGGCTTGTAAGATATGATTTGTTATTTAACCTTGGCTTGAGAAGGTTGATGGGTGGATGGACTTTAAACACTCATGGGTTCTGGGAGGTGCTCTTTGGCAAGGCGCTCGGGGTCTAGCCGTATAGTACTCACCTCACCGCACTTGACTGCACCATACGAGAGATAATTGTACATAATGAATCATAGCAAGTTTGTTATTAGAGATAAAAAGGTGGAGTTTGTTGCATAGCATTGTAAATTAATTATCTACAAACAGTTTTATGATTAATCACATTTATTTAAATAATTATTTCTATACGTAAGGGGGAATAGAGCACAAAGTTTTTGTTTACACTAAATGAAAATATTTATAATGTACATCATCTTTATACCTTCATTATTTCAGGTGATTCTAATATGAACCTTATTCCATTATAAATGTACATACAATAGACCCTTGCCATTCGCAGGTTTGTGATTCGCGGTAAGCAGCTGGTGGCTCGGGTGGCTAGCATGCGAGCCTTTTCCCGCAGCGCTACAAGTCACCCCACCCCCCAGTGGCGTCTCGTCTCCCTTTGTTTGCACTCACCCAGTACCCGTGACCTAGCATCTTGTGTTTTACATACAGTACAGTAATATATCGCTTCTCAGACTTGATTTTTTTTTTCATTTGTGTATTTATGGTTCAGTACTATTTTATTATTTTTTATTCTACTTTCTATTTATTATTTATTTTTATAATTTATTTTTATTATTTATTATTATTATTATTATTATTATTATTATTATTATATTTTTGCCCTCCAGGACCCGTTGTGGGTCAGTGACCTGTGCCCTGGTGGGCTAATCCTCGTAAAAAAATAAATAAATAAAATCAATGTGGTTAACTCACTAATACACTTCATTGTCACATCAGTGTGTTGGTTCTACAGTGTTAATAAGGGATGTAACTGATCATCAATTTGGAAATGTTTAAATTTTGCAAAAGCCATGACACACGCATTAACATACTGAAACATATTGGAGGTTGAAATAGTCAACTGAGACAAAACTCCAACAAGGAGAAACTTACCCCCTCTGTCAAATGAATACTACCAAGAAAGTATGACATTGGACAATGTGAAAATTACACAATTTATTAAAAAGTAAGATCAGACAAGGTTTGCCATATACCTGAGAGCCAGTTGGTGTCTGCAGAGTGCTGTGCTGTGATGAGAGACTGGAACTCTGTGGAGAAGTCAGGGCATCGGGTAGAGGTGGTGGTGGTGGCTGTTCTTCTACCCCCCCACCATCACCGCTCACTGTTCCTTCTACCTCTGACACTGATGTACTTAAGCTCATACTCAGATCTGTCAGACCATCACGCACCACTGTAACAAAATAAAAGCATTAAATTTAAGATGGAATCCAAGAAACGTATATTTTACTTTCCTGAATGGATCTTGGCAACCATTACCACCAGTGAGGAACCATTGGTGAGATATACACTGCTCACTGTATTTCAACAACTATTGAAATTAACCTCAGATAATAAAACTAAGGCAGGTCAAATATTTCTTAGTTACATGAAAAAAATCTTCATCAGCCCAAGTAGTCTGGAAAAGAATTGGAGTGTTGATCCTGATATCCCTCTCACTGGAAAAGCCTGGCAGCTATTTGTAATACACAATACTGTACCAACTGGGGTGTTCAATATCCTAAGAAAATCATACATATTCAATTAGGGCCAAGATTTTATCCCTAATGGGTAAACTAGTCACCCATTCCCAACCCTTACAAGGGGGAGACCAGGTCCAACAGTGGTCCTTTTGAGACAGGAGGGCTTTTAGTAGCCATGTATAACCAATCACACATCATTGATCTAATTCCTAGCCAGCTATCAAACAGGGAGGTACTACCGCCTGGGAAGATATTGGAAGCATAATGTGTTGTCTAATGGTGGACCCTGCTGCCATATGGGACCACAAAAATTGTGACCAACTCCCAGGTTGATGATCTGACCTTTTGCCTCATTTGCACACAATTGCAGGGTAGCAATTGGTTTCCCTTACTTTGGCAACACAACATACATACATTGTTTCTCACTCTTGATCCCTTTTTTTTAATGTCTTTATTATTATTATTATTATTATTATTATTATTATTACTATTATTATAACTATTATCATTATTATTTTTATTATGAATTATTATTATTACATCCCCCCCCCAAGGTCCTCATGTGGGTGAGTGACCTGTGCCTGGGTGGGCTAATCCCAGTAAAAAATAAAAAAATAAAATAAAAAAATAAAATAAAATTAAATAAAAAATAAAAAAACCTTACATACAGTATATTGTTTCTCACGCTTGATACTTTTTAATTTTTGTATTTATTTATGGCTCTTTATTATAAGTACTATTAATATTTTCTTTTATTATAATTGTTATTTAATTTTATTTATTTTATTGTTATTGTATTATTATCATCAATATTATCATTTTATTATACAGTATTTTCACCCTCCAGGCCTTGATACGAGTCATTAAATGTGACCTGTGCCCGGGTGGACTAATGCCCATACTTTACTTACACTTCCTAACACCCCGTGGATAAGAGAAAGAAACAATGATATATGATTTAACCGTGTAATAAGAGGCGAGTGTATACCTTATTCTTTAACGTGTTGTAAGATGTGTGTGGACAGAAAAATGAGAAATGCAAGGACTAAAGGAAGTGAATACCGATAAAAGTTGGACTAAATACAACTTCTTTGGAATAGGGATGAAATGCATAACATGTGTTGTAAATGGAACTAAAAGGATGGGAGAATGATTTCTTTGGTGAGCACTGATCATATTTTTTCTTCTAACACTGTGATAGGCTAAGGAATGTACAAAATTATGATAAGAGAGTCCTTGAGAAGATAATGTTACTTACTGTTCAAGAGATAGGAAATACATCTTAGGTTTAATATAGCTTAATTGTGTGATAGAGATGGCTAGCTCTAAATATAAAGACTTGCAGGTTGTCAGCTGAGGGAAATAAGTAAGAGTAACAGGATGACAATACTCAAGAAGGGTAAGGACTAAAGGTGACTGATGATGATCCCATAAGTGGAGAATAATGTACAGTATCATGTTTTATTCTTTTGGTTGACTACTATAACTGTATACAGTACTTAATTTCACCTTACCAATTGAATCTTGAGATGCACTAAGGTCCAGGGAGCCAATATTTGAGTGTCCAGTAAGTGGGGTGGCAGGCTGAAATCTTAAAGTTGCTTCTTGTAGGGACTTGGTGTTAATCAGAACACATCGCATCACAACACCATCCACAACATCAACATTGTCTCCACCATCATTATCATCATCGTCATCATCATCTGAAGATTAAAAAAGTGAGGTGAAACACAATGAAATCTATAGCACACAACATCACAATACACCAAGTACTGTGCTGCAGAGCGCCTCTTGGTAATAAACAATAGATATATCCTAAAAATGCTATTATATGACAAAGTCAGTGACCAAAACTGATCAAATGTTGCCATGGTAATAAGGTTTTGGGAGTTACCCATTCACAGCTGAGTGAGCTAAGGGTAGCCAGGGTACAAACCAGCAACCCTCACGACAGGAGATGATTGCTGTACCCATTTACGGTAGCTGCTCCACTTATTCAACATACTGTAAGTGGTTTACTTAAAATTAAAATTCCAACTTTCTTGCTCTATGCATTAGCACAATTTGAGAGAACCTGTACACCACAGCTGCTTGTAAGGATTCGATGACATCTTTGCAGTAAGTCCCAAACTTACCTTGTAATTAACCTTAAAATACCTGATTAAAACCTTGACAGATGAAGTTAAAATCTGGTCCCTTACCGTGTGCATTCTGGGAGTGGTCATGGGCATGATCATGCTTCCACCGTTTATAGGGTTTCCAGGCTGCATCTGTTATAGACAGAGACAGAGTAGGGTACTGGACAGGTAGTTCAGACACCGACACTAGTCGAGCAATACCACCTCCACCGCCCCCATTCTTCATAAGGAAGGTTCCGCCAGCACCAGTCAGTCCACTAGTGCCTCCTCCACATCCACTACCACTTATGCCATCTTGGTATACCACAATTACATACATAACCTGAAAAACGAAGTAAAATATTTTCAACATCTAACTATTAAGAGAACTAGACTATCAATAATGGTGATTTAGATCCTCACCACAAACAGGAATAACAACTCCAGCACATGGACTTGAAAAATGCTATTTACAAAACTAAGCCTATAATATTTATATGGAGAAAGTTCATTTTAATGTACAGTTGAATGAAAAGTAACAAGAAAGCTTAGATGACCCCAGTACTGTTTGAGGATTGTTTCATTCCACAAGCCAAGGAGTATTGTCTGCAACAAGGGATTGCATTCAAGATTTTGTTAATTTTGGATAATGCTCCGGGACGCCCACCACACCTGGACGACATGTACCCTAATGTTAAGGTAGTCTACATTCCACCTTACACTACCTCTATCATCCAACCCATGGATCAAGGTGCTATTGCTGCTTTTAAAGCGAATTATTTACGTACAACCTTCGCTCAGGCTGTTGCTGCTACTGAAGGTGAGAAAACGCTCAGAGAGTTTTGGAAGGACTACGACATTTTGAAATGTATAAAGAACATTAGTGCAGCATGGGATGAGGTTACAGGTCAGTGCATGAATGGAATATGGACAAAAGTCCTGAGAAGATATGTGAACAGTTTTAGAGGATTTAATGAAGATGAAGTAATTTCTGAGCTTAGTAACAAGATAGTGGAGTTGGGTAAACAGGTGGAGTTAGAAATTGATAATGAAGATGTTGAGCAGTTGGTTGAAAGTGTAGCAGAAGAGCTAAGTAATGAGGATCTTATTGAACTGGAGGCACAGAAAAATGCAGAGGAAGAAGAGAGTCTAAATGTAGAAGAAGAACCTGCACCCCCCAAAAATTTTTCAGTAAAGCAAATGGCAGAGGCATTTGCTACAATTAATAAGGGGATGCAAATGTTTGACGGAATGGATCAAAATGTTGAGTGTTTTGCCAAAGTAAACAGAATGGTCCAAGATGCACTTGCTTGCTACAGGGAGATTTATAATGAAAAGAAAAAGCAAACTGTGCAGTCTAAATTGGACATATATTTTAAGAAGTCCCCCACTGCTGTCTCCTCACGCCCCACCACAGCTGCCTCTTCACTCCCAACAGATGATCTAATACTTCCAACCAGCAAGTTTACCCTGTACATTAACCTGTCTGAAGAAAGTGGCATTGATGACCCACCCAGCCCTGTCTCCTCCTCTGCTTCTTCCAGTTAATGTTGTCTCCATGTATAATTAGAAAATTATTGAGGCCCCGTGTGTATTCAGCTGACTACATTAAAGGTAAGTGCACAGTCACACTATCCATTCTTCATTATTGATTACTTTTACTGTACTGTATTTCATTTTAGATTTTCTATGTATTTTTGCATTTTCGACTTACAACCATTTCAACTTACGACCTGGATTTGGGTCTCTAACCCCGTCATAAGTCGGGGAGCAGCTGTACTGTCTATCTTTTGTTTACTTCTTCTGCCTCAAACAGGATCTTATTGTCTTTGGTTTTAAAAGTCCCACCCCATTTATTTCCTTTTTTCTGGTTCATTTGTTTAATCTTTCTGTACATTTCCCTATAATTATGCCTTCTGTCATCATCTTCAAGTTACATGTAAATACAGTACAATTACTAACCTCCATTTCAGTATTTAAAAAGATACTAATGACAGTTACATGTTATGTGAGTACGATATACAGTAGGTATTTAATAAGACTAAATGCAAATATTTCGCAAATATTTCAATGTTACTACGATACAAACTGTGTTACTTGATATTTTCAATAAAATCATCTCTCAGAAATTGTGCTTATTTCAAAACTACAGTAGCATGTAACTGATTTAGAGGATGTCTGAAATTAATTGTTACCGTACTTGCACCTGGAGATTTAGGAATTAATATTCAGTAACTATGCATGACACTTTATTGAATAAAGTTTGGTTCAATATATAGTTTGATGTGCTCAAAATCTGTAAAAATAGACAAATATATGAAAATTCCAAAGCGTTACAAAATTCCCAGGCCATAACCCACATGCCCCGGGCTAGGGTGCAGCTGGCCGCGTCCCCCACACGGGGGTAAATCGAGAACAATCAACTTTTCCAATACAAGGGGTAATAATTTTTAACCTTTTAAAAAAAACAATAAAAAAGGTTAGAAAAACTATATATTGACCCTCTAGAAACGTACCTGAGGCCACAGTGGCCAGGGAGATAAGGGGACAGTGTTGTTTTGAAGGAGAGCTAGTGGTCACTACACACTTAGCGGCCATTTTCTGCTTGCCTTTGTGTCCAGGATGGCCAATAATGCATATAGTTACTGATCAAAATACTTATTTCCTATAAATAATTCATTTAGAATTTATTTTATTTGCATCATTTTTCACAAAAAGAGCTCGGTGACACACGCAGTCTGTCGCCAGGTTGAGAGAAGACTCTCCATGGCGACAGGCTAATGCGTACTAACCGCACTGAGCCCACCCACGCTACCCTGCGTGTGGCGTGACCACCAAATAGTCATGCTGGAACCTAATAACACGCGCTGGGCATTCAACCAATGGCGCGAAAAGGCGTGCATCCCTGAATGTCAACCGGGGCATTGGGATTAAACATTCTCAGAAAATTTCCAGGAAAAGTTCCCAAACTCCCGGAAACTTTCCATGCCTTTGCAACCCTTAGTCTGACGGGTGAAGCAGCCAATGCTGATGAGGTGAGTGAGGCTCAGGCCTTCACAGAACTCCTAAAGGCAAGGATTGAGGATAAATGATACACCCTCTAGCAAGTCCTCATGATGAAACGGACCTGTTCTGGATGATAATACCTTCCAGAAAATTCGTTACCAAGGAGGAAAAGACAGCATTAGGGTTCAAGGCAGCCAAGAACCATCTCACTCTACTGCTGGGCGGTAACGCTGAGGGTGACCTGAAACTCAAACCAATGCTCGTCTACCATGCCGAGAACCCCAGAGAACTGAAGGGTTACATCTTCCCATCTTACTGTCACTTAGCACTCAACTCCAAGGCATGGGTGACCACTGTGCTGTACCAAAGCTACATGGTTGGCTATCTTTCCAACCGGCTCATGGAGTATGCCGACAGTAAAAACATCTCCGACAAATTTCTCCCGATCCTGGATAATGTGCCTTTGCACCCAGCCACCATGGAGGGTTGGGCTGACAACATTGAGAGGCTGTTTCTCCTTCCAACCCAACACCACCTAACTCATGGATCACGGTGTCATTGCCACCTTCAGGGCATATTATCTGCAAGGAGTTTGGGCGCAACTATAATATCAAGGTGATCAACAACATCGGTGTATCGTGGAATGAGGTGAAAAAATCAACACCGAATGGTGTGTGGCATGAAGTGTAGCCTAAGTGTGTGCATGGCTTCAATGGATTCGAAAAGATGGGTAAGATTTAGTGCAACATTGTGGCCTTGTCGCACCAGGCTGGGTTCAAGAAGGTTGACCAGGACCTCAAGAAACTGGAACAGAGATGAGGGATGGAAGAGGAGGAAGTCGAGTCAGAGGAACTTGTCATGTTCCTCATTACTGAACCTGTTGCAGTTTAACCTCTCCGTAATTGATGATGCACTTGCTAGTTTCTCTGAACATGAGCCAAGCCTGAACTGGAGTGCGATGAGAAATGTTTGGTGCAGAATGGTATTCAGTGCTACAGACCCCTCTACATAGAAAAGTGATAGAGGGCACATTAGGTGCCCATCACTAAGTTCTTCAAGCCAAAGCAGAAGCCAATGATGCCACAGTCATCACTCTTGCACACCAGCATCTTCCACCTCAGGTGTTCCTCACTTCAAGTCTAAAGCTCTCACCCTGCAACCCATCCATACTGAAATGATGGAGGGTCACTCATGCAGCCCATTGAGGTGTCGGAGGGCCACTCTTGAGGCCCCCCTCACTTACCCTAGTTGCCCATCACTGTTATGGAAGCTTCCTGAGCTGCGCATGAAGATTCTTCAAGGTTCCCAAGTCTTAACATATGTAAAAAAAAAAATAAAATAAAAAAATTCTTAATGACTCAGTTATTCTGAAGGTGGGGATAAAATGAGGTGGTGGAAACATACCCGTCTGTGTATATCAGAGAGCAAGAGGAAATTTGCTGAAGGATCCATAGCGGCCTTAAATGTGAGGGAGGTCTGTGGAGGGGCTTCTGGGGCTGGGACAAAACGAAGAGTCTGGTGACATTGCCACGATTCACACGACCAAACACGGAGTTCTGAATTGTTGCATGCACCAGTTACTGCATACTTCCAAAACTGTACACTGAAAAAAATATATAAATAAATAAAATCAATAAATTATTATATAAATAAAACAATCAAGAAATATTGCAAGCAATTACAAATGAATCACCTATTTCTTGCTAACAATTCTTGTTTTCAGTTGGAAGGCACTCCACTTAATAATGCTTTGTACTCATTATCCATAATACACAGGTTCAATCCCTTATCATGCTGGGACTCCAAGAGCCAATCACTCTGTCACTGTCATGACCCCAGATAAGTTAGTAATATTTTTGCCTTGGGTTACCACCCCTTCAAGTGTGGAAAATAGCACAAGAAATTCCTATATTTATTTTCTTATATTTACATCAATATATCCTAATACCATACAGGTAGTTGTTGTTTATCACAGATTCACACACTGCAGTTTCAATTTATATTAATTCAAATCTCATAACCAAAATATTCAATTATGGCAATGGGTTTCATTTTCGAATACAGGTATATTGAAACTGTTCGAAAACCTTCTAGATGCAGGGAAGCACCAGTTGACCCACCCACCCACCCACCCATACTCATTAAGAACTTACGAGAGAGAGAGAGAGAGAGGGTGGGGGGGGGGGGTTGTAGCGGGCTCTCTGGCCACCTAAAGGATGTGGGATATATTCCGTTCTCCCCCGAGCAGTCTCTACTCACTATCACTCCCACTCTCACATCAATCAGACATATTTAACAGAGCTACTTTAACATAGCCTCCGACCTCATTTAACACTCATAGCTACAGTGATTACGTTACGGTGATAATCCATTTCGAAAGTGTACATAGAAACCATTTATAATAAATAAAACCAAAGGACATATTGGATTTCACTACAGAAGATCCAATAAAATTTGATCTATATTTTAGTATGTCTAGAATATAAGGTAAGGTGCTTCACAAGTGATTGTTACAAGTGGTGAAAACCCAGGAAGGTTGTTACATATATGACAATTTCACAAGTAACTGTTATACAACAGTAACAGTCACCCAATGGATACACAGTTAGAGAATATATTTGATTCTCCCCATTACTGTGTTATACTGTTACAAAGAAGATATTGTTACATAGTTGGCAATAAGTGATCGCGGGCCCTTCGTGCCCGGTGAAAGTTTGAACGCTCGTGACAGCGTACAGCGAATGAGGGTGCGCCAAGTCCGAAGACTTGCATGGTTAATTAGGGTGCGCCAAGTCCGTAGAATTGCATCATTTTCCATCGTAAATAAAATGGTTAATTAATGCCTTCCTAAAGAAACCATCGACATGGGACCAGGTTTGTTCCACTCTACGAGTTTTTTGCGATTTTTCCACCAGGTTTGATAAAAAACGATTGTGCCGTTTTGGCTGCCCAGAACAGACAGACAGACACACGGCTATTCCTATAGTATATTAGATGCACAGCTTAAGAGAACCCAGTCTAGGACCAGTCTAAGGTGACAAGTTTACAGTTAGTCAAGTGTACTCCAAGTAACCGTGACAATTTGGGTAACAGAAGTTATTCGTCACACTGGAGTTGATTAACAGTTGAGATAATAGTATCTCCTGTTACTCATATTGTTTATATATAAAAAAATAAACAGTTTCAGAGACATAGACAGAAAGACAGTGAGAGAGACAGAAACAGACAGTGAGAGACAGAGGCAGAAACAGAGAGAAAATAATGCGAGATATATCTTACTCTGGGCTGTGATGCTTATGATTATCAAGGAAGAAAAGAGCTGAAAGGGGTTTGCCATCATGTGGGTTCCACTGATGTAAGCAGCGGGGTGATTTCTCTTCATCAGCCATGTACACCTGAAAACAATTGTAAAATTAGAAAAATATGCCACAGTCCTACACATACAGTACCACAGTCCTACACATACAGTACCACAGTCCTACACACATACAGTACCACAGTCCTATACACATACAGTACTACAATCCTACACACACATACAGTACCACATTCCTACACACATACCACCACCACATATTGCTGAGAAAAGATTGCCAACAAGTAATTGCCCAGCATCCTCCCTCTCTCCCCATCAGGAAGCTCAACCATGAGAAAGTGTCACATATACCACCCAATCAAAATCGCTTTTCCGAAATGTGACATTAATAGTCCTTGATTTTCCCATATAAGGCCCTGTCAGCCTGTTCCTGCTCTCATCCTCCTCCTTTCAACAGCCTGTGTGTGGACTGCTCATAACGTCTCTGCCTAGTGTCTGCTACCTTAAGGCCGCAAAAGAAATCTTTACATTTTTGGCGCAAATGAAATCTTTACACGGCGTGCAGAGTAAAGATTTTAATTGCATTCCCGGGCTAACAAAAGTGGGAGGAGCTTGTGATCACGTAACCGCCTCCCACGCACCTCCAGCCACCAAGGCCGCTCGCATCAGTGAGCCTCGCGCTCTGATAGAGAGAGGTGCAAATATACGTAGCTCCGCCACCCGCCATTCTTCACACGTGCGCCAACTTTGAGAGCCTATATCTCCACCCAAACTGAACAGAATGGGTCGCAACAAGCTCACACTACATGAAAAAGCTCGGGCTTTAACCCAATTAGAACTGGGGATGTGTGTGATACGTGTAGCTGCAGACTTATAAGTTTCAAGGCAAGCCATTTACAACCTCAAACACGCAGCAGCGCCATTACCACCCGGAGCTATACCGAAGAGGAAAGTGGGATCTGGGGCAGTTAGGAAGACTTCAATAAGGACAGACAACATCCTGAAGCGTGAAGTGATGTCTGATCCTGCTGTAACAGCTTCTACACTGAAGAAAAAGCACCCAGACCTCCTCAAACATGTGGCAATCAGGACCGTACAACATCGTCTCCAGAAAGACCTCAGTTTACCGACTCAGCGCGCAGCTAAGAAGCCTCTTCTCACCAAGGCTATGAAGAAGAAGAGGATTAATTTCTGCAAGAAATACCAGCACTGGACATCAGACGACTGGAAGAAGGTGATGTTTAGTGATGAAAGCACCTTTAGGCTGGTAAGGGGTGCCTCGAAGATCGTGCGTCGGCCCAAGAATGTGTCGTGGTGCTCTCCAAAGTACACCGTCAAGACAGTGAAGCATCCAGATAGTGTGATGGTGTGGGGTACTTTTAGTGGTTGTGAGGGCAGGGGAGGTCTGTACGGCCTTCCCAAGAATGTCACGATGAAGGGAACTAATTATATCGAGGTGTTAAGGGACCATATGCTACCGTTTTGGCCAATCCATCAATGTCATCATTTCATGCATGATGGTGCCCCTGCCCACAAGTCAAAAATAGTCACAAAGTTCCTCAGTGACAATGAAATTGATGTGTTAGAGTGGCCTGGCAACTCCCCCGACTTAAACCCAATCGAAAACGCTTGGAACGTGATGAAAAACAAGATTCAAGAGGCCAGACCCAGCAACATCAAGGACCTGCAGGAGGAGCTGATAAAGTTGTGGGTCAACATGAACGTCTCCTACTTTGCCAATCTCGCCCAATCAATGCCAAAACGACTGCAGATGGTATTGAAAACGAAAGGCAACATGACCAAATACTAAATATGAGGTAAATACTGTAATAAAAGTCATGTAAGTCATGTTTTTAGTTTTTATTCTCCTCCAAATCTCAAGGTGAACACAATGTCAACTTTCTTTTGCGGCGACTGTAAGTGACACTTTTAGCCTTATGTGCTACTTAAAGACTGAGGTGATACTAGTGTACTCCATTATGTGACTTGCATGCTCTTGCCAGTGAACCAGCTAACAGTACAGTACATTAGAGTTAAGATTACCTGTAATTATAAGAAAAAAACTGTAGATGCATGTTTAACTACCCTCCCCATATCTGGTATTTAAGAACTACTTACAACTATATTACTTTTCTCATACTTAAATTTACTGGGAACAAACTATTTTGTTCACGAGAGGAATTTCTAGTTTACATCTTACTTAGAGAATTCATTAAGTATTCCTTGGAGGCTCTGAGTAAACCTTAAACTGTTGACTAGAAGTTTGTAATACATGACATTATAAATACAGAACTGGAGAGAAATATAAAAAATATAAAATACAAGTACCTGAAAAAATTTTACGTAGCCATCAAGTGCAGCTGTTGCCAGGGCAGTACCATCTGGACTGAAGGCAGCATCAGTGATGGGTGCAGAATGTTGTTCCATAAGCTGGTAACCAGCAACTACTTGATCTCGACGTAACTGTCCACCACCGTATTCTTGTAGAACAACACCCACATTCCATATTTCTGCCTGAAATCACATTACAGTACACTGTACCAGGCAACAATATTATCATCTTCTAACACAAGAACTAATCATAATTAATTCATATTAAATGCAATGAGTAAACATTAGGGGTTGAAAAATAACCACAACAGCTCACAGCTCAGATTGGTAGGGAGAGGGCTAGGGGATGTGGCTAGTGACAAGTCTAACCAGTGATCTTAACAGCTTTTGCATCAGGTACATCATTTGTAGATTTAAAGCAACATATACATTGATTAAGATGCTGTTCTTCATATACCAATATAAAGAAGAGGGTAGGGAAGCCCAGGACAAAGATTGTTTCCTTTTTTTTACAGGAATAGCCCACCCGGGCAGAGGTCAATGATCCACACCATGGACTGGGGGGCAAAAATATAATAATAATAATAATAATAATAATAATAATAATAATAATAATAATAATAATAATAATAATAATAATAATAATAATAACAACAATAATAACAGTAATAATAACAGTAATAATAATAGTAATAATAATAATAATAATAATAATAATAATAATAATAATAATAATAATAAATTATAAAAATTAATAAATAATAAAAAATATTAAATAAAAATATAATCATAATAATAATAATTATAAAAAATAAAAATTAATAAATAATAAAAAATATTAAATAAAAATATAATACTACTACTACTACTACTAATAATAATAAAAAATTATAAAAATTAATAAATAATAAAAAATATTAAATAAAAATATAAAAATAATAATAATAATAATAATACTGTAATAATAATAATAGTAACAATAGCAATAGCAATAATAATAATAATACAGGTTGTACCTCTCTAGTCCGGCATTCTGTGGTCCGGAAACTCCTGTGGTCCAGAACGATTTTAGTTTGGCTAAATTTGGCCTTACTTAACCTAATTTTTTGGCGAATTACTTCCTGTAATAAAGCAACGAAAATAACACAGATAAAGTTAAATAAAAACTAAAAACAACACAGAAAAGTTCTTATGTTCTACAGCTTCAGCTAGAGTTGAACCTGACGGCTTGGCAACTCGTCATCAGAGTAAAAACACACACAGCAACATTGGCTGTCTTTATGTTTTCAACTTTACCACCACTGGTGGGTAGAAGTTTTGTTTTAAATTCAGAAACATTAATTAAAATATATGATGAACATTAAATAAGTGTTGGTTTCATATTCTTATGTAGAGTAATGACATGTTTACACATGTGCTCACTTACATACGCGATCTCACTTTTTTTTTACCATTAATGGTTAGCTACTTCCATTGTTCCATTTATTAACATTAAATAACATTACTTAAAACAACCATATTAAGTTTACTACAGCTACAACCAGGGTCTTATTTTCTTCAGTTTTATATGTAGAACCAATCAGTCACTGGTTTTGTAATCATTAACGAAAACAATACCGTCTCGTCTCCTCGTGTGTTTTAATATTCCACGTATTATTAATGAATTGTATTGTTCATTTTGCACACATTAACATTAATTCAATCAAAAAGACATTCAGTTATAAACAATAATGAATGTTTTGTGCATCGACAAATGACGCTGTTTACACAATTGTGCATGTCTGAACTTTGGCGGGCCGCTCAAACCCGTCGAAATTCGAGTTTTCGCCGTCGAAATTTTAAATTGCGCAGTGATTTTTTTTTGTGTCCAAATTAAAAACGTCGAATTAAAAACTCGCAAAATTTGAGAACCTACTGTACAACATTTAACCCTTCAATATGTCTTCAAAGAGACCACGAAGCAGAGAAAGTGGTGTTAGTGCTTCCAAGTGTATGCACAAGTCACTATCTATCCAGGAAAAGGGTGAATTTCCATGGTCCAGAAATTTCCATGGTCCGGCACCGGTGAGGTACATCCTGTAGTAGTAACAATAATAATAGGAACAATAATAATAGTAATAATAATAGTAGTACTAATAGTACTACTATTACTACTTTTTTTTTTTAATGAAAAGGCCTCCAGCCTCCCCCAATAGCCACACCTTCGACACCATTTTATTACCTTAATATTAAATATCCTAATACATAAGTAGCTATCCTAGCTGTGTTGAATTAGTTGAGCCGCAGATCTATGCGGCATTCAGTGACTGTTGCCTCATAGTCAATATCTGCAGCTGTTGTCGGCATTGGGGCAGAAGCTCTCGTTCCCTGAGGCAGAGCAAAGCCGACCGAAGGAGAGAGGACAGTCGACATCTCATCCAGGCTGTAACATAACTTCTGGGCTGCTGCTTCTGTTCGGAGATCACCTCCGCGAGTCTGGCGTAGAAACATCTTGCACTTGGTCCCATCCCACCAGAGGTTGTGAACACTAGAGGAGTGAAGCTGCCTTGATCAACGTTTTGAATTCTCTCCCCATATGCCCTTATCTTGTCGTTCTCGTTCCTCCTGTGTGCAGCATCGAGAGCTAGGTTACGGTGACATGCGGCCATGGGATCAAAAATCCTGATGTCGAAGAAAGCTCGCTGTCCCCGCGTCCAGAATCCTCGAGCACTGACGTCAACACGGGCTTCGTTAGATGTGTTTGAAGTCCTATGTTGGAAGATCTCACCGTCCAAAGGAAGGAGGGTCGGTTCTACCATGACATCCCGGCAGATTTCCTTCAACATATTTGCTGTGAGGTCCCTTACTTCGTCATGCCTCATGCATATGAAGCCCCCTTTCTTGCACACCATGGCGTGATCGACGTCATAGGAAGAGCCACACACGCATTGGGAGGGCAAACCTTCTACTGGCCCGTACCTTAGAGCAATGGCATCTGTAAATTCTTGTTTATTGAGACTGAAACCATTTGCCCTTATCGGTAACGTAGTTAACCAGTTCGAGGCGCCCACCTCCTGCGCTATAGCTACTTTTTTTTTTCAAATTTCTGGTACCTGCAGCAACAGTTGCTGCAGCTTATCATTTTGGCAGTGCTGTCGTTCTGTCGTAATGGACCTACGAATCTTGTTTACTTCACTGGTATCCACCTCCCCTGTTGCGTTCTGGGCTATTATGTGGTCCGTGAGGGCTGCCGTGAGCTTAAGTGAATTTTGATGTTCAGTGGCAGCAATCTCCTCTGGATTGGTTAGTCCCATACCTCCCAGTCTTGATGGAAGTGCAAGAAGTGATCTTTCTGCTGGGGTTAAGTGGGGGTGTTTCACTAATTTGGGAATGAAATTGACACTGATAGCTTCTTCCAGAGGGTGGAGGAGGGGTCCGATATCAGGGATAGTACGCATCAGGTAGTTCCAACGATGCTTGATTCCATGGGTGAATGCAGCAAAAGCCGCATGTGGCTCTGTGTTAGCAATCTCAGACAGAGCTTGGATTTCACTAACCCACTCATTCACCTTTCCCGCTACGTACTCGGTCTTGAAGTCCGTAGTGCCAATTACTGCGCCTAGATGTCTTTGGCCGTCCTTAGTTATTTTGACCTCACTTCCGCCAAAAACCTCCATTGCCCGTTCATAATGTTCTGGCTTCACGATGAGGAAGGACTTGCTGGCGTTTGGGTGGTACCCTATTTGTGGACCTCGCGATGTTACCAAGTCCCACCACTTTTTGATGCCCTCCACTTTTCCTGCTCCTGTAAGGTCATCAGCATATGCCACTTGTTTGACCCCAGTTGTTTCAAATTTTATTTCTTGTTGGAGCACTGATAGGCCAATTGCATACATTGCCATTGCAACAGGGTCCCCCTGTGTTGTTCCCTCGGTTGACTGTAAGATGGTATCACCTCTTAGAGCCTTGTTGTTTACTATATAGAGGTCTGATGGATTCCTATACGAGTTTTCAACATACATTGCAAAGCTTGGACACTTGATCTTGATGTTGTGCAGTGCAGCCTTGCGGTTAAATATGTTGAATGCGTTTGAAGCATCCACCAGGAGAACGGCCTCACAATCACGCTGCTCAAATATCAATCTCATGGCGTGAATGGCGGCCTCCCCGCCAGCCTGGTGGCCAGCACACACTTGTAGGTTCCCTGCTGCTGCCCTGACATCATCCTTTACCACCTCCATTATGCATTTTCCGATGATCCGCCTCAGCACTTCCCCCACCCCTATAGGCCTACATCCTGGATTCTTTTCCAGAGGAATAAGGCGGCAGGCCGTCAGGGCCTGGAGGTGATGGCAGCAAGAGGATGCAAGCTTTCTTGCAAGGGCGGCAATGGCAGTGCAGAGATCGCTTGCTACAGGGCCAAACTTGTTTGTGCTGAGGATGACTCTCCAACCGTTTGCATCCAGACCTGAAGGGCCGGCTCCTCCTCGAGTCTTCAGTGCCTTTTTCCACACCATCTCTCCTGTTATTTTCTCGAACAGGACAGCATTTGGTGGGATATAGTCACCCTCGAACCTGATGCCTTCTTCATCACTTGCAGGGGGATGTTTCTCTTTCAGTAGTTTTAATGTCTCTCTGTTTATTGGCATCACCCCACCGGAGGATTCCTCTGTGAGAGATCTTACCGCCAGAGACACTTTTCCCACACGCATTTTGTTTCCAAATTTTCTTGCCACGTCATCGGTGTTTTGCTTTCCGTCACCCGTAATTTTTAGTCTCTCCTGCAGTGTTCTTGCTTCACATAGGAGATCAGCAAGGGCCCCAGTCTGCCACATTGCCAATCTTCTCTTCATTGCTGCCACATTTTCTTTGTGCTTAGTCTTTGTGTGTGTCCTCTGACAAAATAGATGTGGTATTATTGCCAGTATTTGAAGAGCTAAAGGGGCGAGGAAGCGGTCCTGAGTGTAATCAGTCATGAGGCGAGTCATCTCCCGAATCATTTCTTTGGTGGCCGCACACTTGGGTGGTTCAAATAAGTTAGCGGGCGACCACTTGACAATTTCTGAGTAGGTTTCTTTGACCCATATGTCTGCATTTTCCATCGACATGCCATTCCACTGAGGTGGCTGTCTCTCATTCTCCTCGTGGACATCTGCTACTAAGGGAGCAGCATTTATTAGTACTACATTTTCGGGTTGAGTAGACTCACTGCTATCATTTCGGATATCATCGGGGTTGGGTCCCGGCGATATCCACTGTGGCCACCTGTGTCGGCTCCCTGCGACGTGGGTTCCGACACTGGTCTCGCTTCTTGCAATCCACACATGGTCGGTTGTTTCTCGCACAAACACAATTTGTGCAGTTTTGGTTCGGGTTAGCACAGACGCAGCAATGATTGTTACCAGGCATAGTGAACAGCACCTTGGGCGACAGATACTTCCGCCTCCGACCTCTGCTATTGGGCCCATACGGACGAAGAAACTAGATCTTATGAGTATGGGGCAAAGAGGTGACGGCCTGGCCTGCGGTGTCCGAGTAGTAGGGGCATACGCGCGTGCCAGGTTGTGTTGGGCACCCCCCATGTGGGCGACAATCCACACATCAGAATAATCCACTGGGAGCAAGAATTGTCACACCTAACACTTGTTTATGTAACCTTGGCAGAGATAACCACTATTTCTATGGTCTCACTGATGTAATATTAGTTATATATATACTCACTTGGTCAGCCGACACTACATGAAGTGGCCGTTACTTGAGGTGGGGGGGGGGGGGGGGCGACCGCAAGCGCGAGGCACTTGGCCCCATAGGGGCGAGAGTCGCGATGCCACCCCTGCTAAGTAGGCCTATCGACACACTGGCACTGACACTTGGCAACTCCAGTCACTGACCATTCAAACACTCACAGGCTTACTTGAAGATCGCCGGTGAACACACGCAATATTTGCGTTTAATGCCGTAAGGATGAGAAGAGCCGTCGGCGACGATGCTCAAGGTGACATCCAACATTCATCGACACACTGTGAAATTCTCGCTCCCACAAACTGAGTATATCCCCACCAATAACACTTTAATCAGGGAAGGCACCCCAACACACCCACGCCGCCCGGGCCTACTACTACTACTACTACTACTACTACTACTAATAATAATAATAACAATAATAATAATAATAATAATAATAATACAATTAATAAAACTTAATATAAACTACAATAATAATAATAATAATAATAATAATAATAATAATAATAATAATAATAATAATAATAATAATAATAATAATAATAATAATAATAATAATAATAATAATAATAATAATAATAATAATAACAATAATAATAATAATAATAAAGAACTATAAAGAAAAAATCAATAGTGATAAACAATATATGTATGTTGTGTTGTCAAAGTAAGAGAAACAATTGAGACCCTGCAACTATGTGTAAATGAGGCAGAAAGTCAGATCAGCAACCTGAGACTTGGTTACATATGGCAGCAGGGTCTACCATTAGACAACACATTATGCTTCCAATATATTTCCAGGCAGTGGTACCTCCCTGTTTGATAGCTGCCTACTACCTTACAAGGAGGACAGACTACCACGGGGGTAGCTATCATTCACCACAAATGATCCAGAAGAAGATATGATTATTATTACTTATCCAGAACTTCTCATTATCTAAAGTGTATTTACCAGTACATGAACAAAATTGGATGTTTTTCCTCTAAATAACACTTTGAAGTCACTTTTACTCCATGTTTGATGAATTATACTAAAAATAAAATAAATACTCTGTAATAAATAAATGAATAAATAAATACATAAAAAAATTCCTTGTAAAATAGGGAAGCAACCGTGAGACTTACCATATGGGGGCAAGTGCGGTAACCATTAAACTTAATAAAGCTTATTTACTGATAATTTTACTTATAACCATCGAGGGAATTGATTCAATGTCTGAGGCCTGATTCACCATCCGTATGTGCATTCAGTGTAATAGTGCCCATATAGAGCATATTTTGTGACTTACAAGTGATTGTATAATAAAGTGATCATTTTGCCTACGTATGGCATAATAAATCTTAAGGTTCCCCCAGTCAAATTTTAATACCCCTGCCTTAAATTGTCTCTAGATTGCATAATGTAATAAAAAAAAATTAAAACCTTCAACAGCTCAAAGTGTACGGTACCACTAAAAAAAATGGGGGATGGGTGGGGGGGGGAAGCTATCAGACTATGCTGGGCAGACTGCTACTTACTACAACAAACATGTCTTTCATGATAAAATGCAACTGAGAGCACTACTGAGGCATGGTTAGTGCGAGGAATCTGTGGGACACATGACTTGGTTTATGAATGATAATCTTGGTGCGCAATATAAGACAGTGACACAAAAATCTTGTCATCATATGATACACAGCACAGACCTTCATGTATCATCGCACAAAGCACATCACAGGTTGAGGGTTAGAGCCATAATTTAATAACCAAATTAATTAACAGACTACATATAGTTATTTGTTTAATAAAGCTAACTTACACATGGTCCATGAGTAAGCACCAAGAGGTAAGCTGGGTCATCGCCATCATCATTACTTCCCTGTTCATCGGGGATATAGGGGCACCATATGACACGGTGGTAGTCGCTCGCCTTATCGGTTCCACTGTTTACTTCCAACAACATTTCCGTGCTAGGGAAAGATGAATGCCGTGTATATTAAGTGAGCCTTGTGTTTTTATCTGCCAGAAGAAATGGGTAAATTTTCCATATACTGTATAAAATATATTTAATTCACACTGGGTATCAATTTTTTTGTTTTAGTAATACTGTACTTTCATTATCAAATGTTTCACTGGGTTACAAAATCTAATTATACAGTATCTGAGTTGATAACAGGAGTAAGTTATTGGACACACTTTAATGTTCCTTCTGTTGTTGACTCGGTAACTTCACAGACATACAACGTTCCAAACTGGTCTGTAAATGCTAAGACGACTCTGTTGCTGAGATGAGCGAAGGCCAAGTCACGTAGCATGCCTCTTATGTTTTTGACCAGTCCTCTGTTTCCAGACTTGCAATGAATAATACGCACCATTCCACTTGATTTCTGGGGAGCTGAAAAGTTTGCAGATATATTAGAAGTTTGACAAGAGACCCTAGTAAATCTATAAGTTTACATTTTAAACTGCATTTACTAATTAAAATACAGTACCCATGTTAAATAAGATGACCTTGAAGATGTTCTCATAATTCACAACATCCCATGCTCACTATTAACAACCAGTGGTCCCTCGGTTAACGAGCACAATCCGTTCTAGAAGGTTGCTCGTTAACCGAAAAACTCATTAGCCGAAACCATTGTTTCAATGGGTTTTGGGGTAATTGGTTCCAGCTCACCAAAAATTGCCTAAATTAAAAAAAAAGGTAGAAAAGTACACTTACTTTGAGGTGTGTATGTAGAAGGCTCCTGGATGATGATGACGATGATGATGATGATGGGAATTAGAAAGGGGGTGGAGGAGAAGGGAGAAGAGAAGGCATTGGGGTGGAAGAGAAGTCACCCCATGGCATCATTTCACCCATAAAATTTTAGTTCTCTTGGTGTAATTCAAGATTATTTTCTTTAAATCAACACTGCACTGCATTATATGTTGTCAATATGTAAAATTTCAAAATGACCAATAATTTGCTTGGAAACACAGAAAAAAGCATTTAGTTGAAGAGAGTCTCAAGCAAGATGTTACCTCCACTGAAAAGACACAAAGACTGACGCCTGTATGGTGTGTTGAGAGGCTGGATGGCGCGCATTAAACTAGTTTCATTACCTTCAATTATGTTCAACAATTGTTAAAATGACTAAAAAATTTAATATTAAACTTTTAAAATTATTGAATAGTATAAACTTCATGATATTTGCTAAAATGGTAAGGAATTTAAGCCCTAGAACCGATTACTGTATTGGCGGACTAATACTACAGCTGGTGGACCGCCAAATGCAAGCGGAAACATGTTGAGGTCGGCTCGTAAGAAACTCGTTAATCGTGGGATTACTCGTTAACCGAAGTTAAGAATCTTATGGAAGGTATCTCGTTAACCGAAATCTCGTTAACCGAGGCGCTCGTTAACCGAGGGACCACTGTGTGTGTGTGTGTGTGTGTGTATATATGTGTGTGTGTATATATATATATATATATATATATATATATATATATATATATATATATATATATATATATATATATATATATATATATATATATATATATATATACAGGTATATATATATACAACACAGCCACCCCTCGACTTACAATGGGGTTAGGGACCCAAATACAGGTTGTAAGTTGAATTGGTTGTAAGTCGAAGGTAATACATAGAAATTTTAAAATGGGTGTCTCTTTTTCTTCTCAGCGCCACGAGAACTCTTACTTTTACACTTGCCAGCCATTTTAAATGGAATTACAAACAAAGATTTTGTCACTAACGTCGGGACTCGAAAATACGTAATTTGAAATTTTTTGGGTAGACTGGGGCGGTCGTATGTCCGGGTGGTCGACGAAGGCTGTATATATAACCTTGATAAATCAGACCTCAATATATCGGAATTAAAAAAAATAAATAGAAGAAAATACATGTTTTAAAAATTGGGGAAGATTAATAAAAAAATCTTATTAAAAGAACAACACTTACTGAATACTGAACAGTGGTCTAATAAGATGTGCTATAGGCCTACTGAGAACTAAGACACTTGAGTATGTTAGCAGGCTGGGGCTGATCAGGTGTTGCCACATTCATCAGGTTTATTTATTGATTGATTCAGTATTATATCTCATATGATTGGCCTTTTATGGTTCATCATGATTAATATAACATCTTCAGTAATAGAGAAAAAATACAATACTGTATGTAATTTGTAATATGACTTGAAAATAAAAGGATAAGCTGCATCATAAGGCTGTTTACTCAAGATGTGTTCCTGTGAGAGCTTTCAACAGACCAGCTTACAACAGGGGTCACTATAAAACACAGTATACCTGCAGTTATTTTAGTGCCTTATATGGAGTGTACCTGTATATAAAAAAGATGTTGCAATAAAATATAATAAATATGTAGAACATAGGTGTGTACAGGTATCCCGTGATATAGCAATGGGATAGGTTATAGCAAAAAAAATAAATAAAAAAATAAAAATAAAAAAATTTAATAAATAAATCATTACAGTATAAATTAATTCATCTACATATGAGCCTCCCACCCCCCCCCTCCCACATCATAAGGGTTATTCGCGCCAATAATTGTGTTTAAAGTTTTTCCAACTACAAACATTCATAACTTTGTTGTTTTTGGAGATAAAGCATTAATTTTTGATGCATTTTGAAGCTTAGGGACTATACTTGCAGATGGTAGGTAGTGCATCATGAAGTAATGTACTGGGTTGTTGCAATGTTGACTTGAAGCAACAAAACTCACACCTGCTTATGGCTTTCTTTTACCTTAATTGATATCAGAGTGTAGATCCTGCCACAACAAAGGAGAACTGAGGGAGAGAGGGAGAGGGATTCCACCTCATTGGTTGGAGGGACCATGACGTAGATAGCAGACGCTCACTGTCATTGGCCGAGACAGTGAAGGAGGCTGCAGACCAGCGGCTCTGATTGACCGCCCACTCCTCTCACTCACTCACTGACGGGATGAGAGCACCCGACGACGTGAAAGCCAAGCCCATACTTTCCCGTCTGCCACAAATCGATGTTTTACCCTTTTTCAATGGGCTTTCAACCTTATTTATAGTCTAGTAAGGAGATCTTATCAACTACCATCGTACAGAGCTAGGCCGAAAATAGTGCTTTCCAAGAAAAAGAGAGGTTTTGCCCGGATGGCCCGAATGAACCTTACGATGTGGGGGGCCTCATATACTGTACTCTTTCATTCTTAAGTCCTCCAATTTTCCATTAATGTGGGATTCCATTACAGAATATACTTTTAAGGGGTCATTCACAATATAACTTTTTATTAGCTATGGTCAAGAGTATTATTCTTCTGATGAGCTACTACTGTACTACTATACTGTACAATCTAAGACAAAAGTCGTGTCGCAGTTTTGTCCGAAGATTAAATACAACTCGGGAAACATTATGAGAGCTCCCTACTACAAGGCAGACCGCACCAAAAGTTTGAGCCCTTCTGCATATGTTTTCACCAAATTTCACGACACGACTTTTGTCTTTCATTGTACTGTACATACAACTGCAATTGCCAAGGTGTTATCACATATCTATCTACCAACCTTTAATAGCATAGGCTAAGTAGTCTCCAGTGCAGTGTTGAACAACCAAACTGCCAGAGAGGTAATGATGGTCCCAAGGATAATTGGTAATGTTACGGGTTGTGATTGCCGACGACCCAGAGGTGTGATCCGTGATTCCGACCTCCACTTTCACCTCTGAACTAAACAGCGCACTGCTACACTGCTCATCATTCCCTCGAAATGAACTGAGGAAAAATAATGTTATATATAAAAAATGAACAACTTAAGATACACAGTACTGTATATGATTACAAGGGTTTTGAAACACAGTATGAGACAATCCATTTGACATTTTGCAGAAAACGAGCAAGGAAAGGAAGAGGGTGTACAGTATGTCCTAAGGAGTAGTGGAAACTGAAAGAACAGAATGTAAAGGAACCAAATTTGTTTTCATCTTTTTTATCCATGTTGTATTAGGCAAGAACAGCTTGAAGACAGTAGGTAGGATAGCCCTTCAACGGGAACATCAGCCATTGTAAAGAAAAAATAAAAGGATAGTTTGTGCTGCCACCAATAAAAAGCATGCAAAAAAAAAATAATAAAAAGTTTAAGCTAAATAAACAGTTTTGCAGCCAAGAAAAAGATACAGTGACCTACAGGATCCACCTGCCTCAACTCTCCCTACCAGAGACATAACTGGAGGCAGGATCAATGCCCTGTATGACCAGTATAAAGGCTGCACAAACAGCTCCAGCTACCTGCCCAGGTTTATGAAGCAAACTCTAGCTTTAGTTCAGTGGTTGATGCAGGAGTGTGAAAAGCAACAGGTAAATTAAGGTGAAACATTAAATAATTTACAGAACATGAACCCATCAGTCTATAAATCATGAGCTCATATATCAATTCTCAAATCAAATAAATGATGAACAATAATGTGACTTAAAGAGCTCACACAATCATTCATGGAGTTGGGCGAGTCATTTTTTTTCTTTGTTTGAAAGGCCAGCCGGGCTAGTGCATTAGTAGATTTGTTTACTATATACTCTGAGCAGAAGTCAGTGGCACGCTGACCCAGCCTGACTAGCCAATGAACCTAGACACCTTGGCTTTGGCTGCATGTGTTATTTACAGGGTCATCTCAGTTAATGACCAGGAGAGAGAGACCAAAGAACCAGATCATAAAGCAGTTATTTGGAACCTATAACCTAAGTCCACATTATAGCATTGTCATTATGGGGGTTAGGTTCTAAAACACTTCACAAAATCACAATTTTGATAAGATAATGACCACATTTTGTTGCAATGTCAGGGTTCTACACTGTTCCTTAGTCACAGACACATCAATAAGTCCACTCTTATGCTTACATTATCTAAGAGGAGAAGAGTGAGTCAGGTTTTAAGGCTGTATTAAAGGGTATAGCTGTACTAAATATCCATGATCTTTTCATTTTTTACAATATGTTTGGTATCTACAAGAGTTAAGTTGGACTTACAAACAAGCCTCAGGAAAGTAACTCGTTCGTAAGTAGAGGAGCACCTGTACTCTCTGATGGGCGGAGGTGGTGGAGCGAGTGTGTGGTGGGTTGGAGTGGAGGAGGAGGGTGGCTAGTCACCGAGACCCGGCAGGTGGCTCCTCCTCCCGGTTTAAAACCTCCATTTGCGAAGCAAGGCTAATGGTCTTATGTTGCTTCTTCACAACACTAGCATCAATAGCATTTGATGGGCACTTGGAGGCCATTTCAAATGGTTAGAGTACAGTATTTAAAGCAAAAACACTTATACACGCACAAATGATGTGGAAGCGTGGCTTGGCGTCAGTGACGTTCCGCTAGTGAGAGGTAGCGCGCCGAGCCAAGAGAGCGTGGCGCAGCCAGACGAGAGATGGTGATGCGCCGTAAAAAGTAGTCCATGACGACGCAAACACGACATTAAATTCAGTCGTCGGGATGTTAAACAAATTATTGGTATCTGAAGAGTAGCGATGTACCGAAACAGCGTTAAGCGGGGCGACATTATACGAGGACTTACTGTACTGAATCAATAAATAAATAAACCTGATGAATGCAGCAACACCTTATCAGCCCCAGCCTGCTTACATACTCAAGTGTATTAGTTCTCAGTAAGCCTATAGCAAATCTTATTAGACCACTGTTCAGTATTCAGTAAGTGTTGTTCATTTAATAAGATTTTTATTAATCCTCCCCATTTCTTTTCTTCTTCGTTTTTGTATTTTTGGTGATCAGAGCATCTCAGTCTGAAAAAAGCGAATTCCGATTCATTGAAGTCCAATTTAATGAGGTTTTACTGGTATTTAGAAAGTTCCACAAACATGTAAACTATTTTTAGACATAATTGCTACATTTTCGATTTTTTTTCAAATACAATTGTAATTCTAATGATAGGCCCATAAACTGTACTCTGTAATATTAACCTTAATGTAGTTGGTACATAAACAGCAGTAACAAAAACATATAAACAACAATAATGAAAATATAAAAATTGCAAAAAATTTTTAAGTTAAGAGTGAACAATGCATTGCAATCTCCACTGACTTTTGCCTTAGCAATGCAGCAGTGTCCCTACCAGAGGTGCTTCACACCATGGACCTTCTGTCCTCCACTTGCTCCCGACACAGCTTTGCTATAACCTTTAATAACAGAGCACGGACTGGCTGAGTAAAGTCTGTGATCTGAACCCCATCGAGACTGTATGGGCCAACATGGTTAATTCATGGGAGCCACAGCAGGGGAGGACCGGGCAGCAACTCCTACAGCACACCCTGGCAGGACTGGAGGCAGTGAGAAGGAGACCGTATATGTGGTTTACAACATGGTGTCTTCAGTGTTGCATCGTTTCCGCCAAGTCATTGATAGGAAGGGGAGCTGGACTGGATATAACATAGTGTACTTGAACCAATTTTACCAATTGGAACATAGATCACACTTCGAAACTGTGTGTCAGTCAGAAGGGAGTGTCCACATCGTGTTTTCTGTTCTCCTTCAAATTTCTTTAGTTGCCTGTAATATGTAAAGTTAATATCTCAAATGTGGCACTTGATTCTACGAAGAGGTTACCAATGAAAGATGACACTGATGATGAGTAAGAATGAGAGGAAAAATTTACTTGAGCACCTCACTGCTGCCGCACTGCTGTCTGGAACCATCACCAACCCCTCACATAAGACAACGTATATTTGGTGTAGTTCAAAGAGGATGCCATAGAATGGATTGTTCACATGATCGAGGGGTCTAGCAGACAGTGCCGTGCGGAGTAGGTGTGGGGAAGCATTTTGTTTGTGCTCGCAAATATATTGGTTCTCGTCATTCAATTTAGGTTGAAATAATTATTAATGGTATTCATTGGTTGTTCCTGACAGTGCTGGCAACATGGCAATCTAGGCATGAAACATGCCCTTTAAACCACCGAGTGAAGCTTAAACTATGAGCCCGGTAGTTCCACCATGTGTGTTCGTGCATGTCTCTCTGTCGTTGCCACTTAACCAGGTTGGGCAAAACTGCCTGGCACAGGAGTTTTGTCAGGAACTGTACAATAAAAAAATATGGAATAAAATACACATATTACCCAAAATTATAAGTTGAAAAATACTTTATACCTTATGATAATTCAGCTTTTTTTTTCAGTTTCTGTATGTACCTGTAGGATTGTATAAATATGTAAGCGAGTTAAAAAATAATGAATATCTACCCGAAATTATGAGTTGAAAACTAACCACAACTTAAAATACAGCTCACAGGTGGGGAATGGCTGGATATTTCCCCACTCAGCCCAGGAATTACTTGGCATTCATTCTAAATAATTTGTTCCAGAAAATAACCATTTTTTTTAAGTGGTTCGGACACCAGATCAATAGTCCCATACCTGCATCAACTGCGTGCATTAGAGCTTAAATGTAAGAAGAGTGTAAGTTTAAGACTCCAAAAAGTGTGGAATATTGTTAAAAAACCACAGCTGGTTCTTTACTGTATTAGTTACCAGTTAAATCGAAAAGTAATTGCCAACAGCAAAATGACATTATGACAAAAATTAAGAAAAACTTACATAGTTTGTCCTTGTTCAGTGGTTTTCATCAGAGCCTGCAGCATAGATGCACCTTCTTTGTAGCCCGCAGCTTCCATTCTGTTGGTAAAAATATCATTACTCAACAAGAGGTCAATGTTAACATGAACAACACTGCAATTTACCATTGTATCACATTCCAGGTCAAATATAAAGTGTAGGTTCAGGAAAGTTTGAGGATATGAGGATCAAGTTTCTGTTTTGGGACTTGGGTGAAAAGTTTTCAAGAGAATGAAAAGAATTCATCAGTGGTATTCATAGATCTAGATAAAGTACTGTGCAGTGTTACGACCAGACCTTCATCGGGCCGTAGTCTCATCACTAATCGGCACTTCGCCTGGTAACTGTCCCGTCAACCAACCTGTCCAGGCCATACAGGAGGGTGATTCATCACTATTTTGCCCATTCTCGCAATTTCACCTCCTACCTAAACCACGGTTCTCAGTTGCTTCACCTACTCAATAGCCTTCGACGATTTCTCCTGCCCAAGTGGAGGTAGTACACCTTCAGCTACTGCCCTGGCTGGTTACTCCTATTCCCAAGGCTGCACTACTCCTCTGGGATACCTGCAGTACAACTTGACTTACTTCTCCCCAGCTATCACGAGTACCAGGACGGCTGGACCTCTGCTTTCACGAGGACCATCAGACCTTAAGTAGAATTCCACGTTCACACTTTCTTCCATTGTGTTCCCATTCCCGTATGTTGTTTAGGTTAGACTTGTACGTAGGTTTGGTTAGGATTTAGTTGATTATTTTGTGTGTTAGGAGTCAGGTTCTTATTCTATGTGCACCATGTTTATATGTCTTTGTATTTTGTAGGAAGTAAATGTATATAATTTTATTCCCCCTTTACTTTCACCTGAGGAGAGGGTTATCGATTCGAGTCCTATGCTTGTTCTGTAAGTGTTTTGAACTTCTGTGAGCAGTTAACTTTGTTACGGTTGTGAATCGTTGGACCCAGGTCAGGATATTCGCCGCATATTCATACATGCTCACAACAAGGGACGTAAGAGAACGAACGAACACACAATTTGAGCAACAGTGTAGGGGCAACAGGTGCTCTGACTTTATTCTTTTTAAAATTCAATATCTTCCTTATTATTAATTTGCAACAGAAGTGTGTACAGAAAGTGTATAAAAAAGTGTATAAAAAAGTGGTCATAGAAAAAAATAGTTGTAAAGATTGAGTGAAGTGAATTTCCGGAATTCTTTGGTTGCTGTAATCTGCACAATTACCGAATTTTCTAGGTACAATGTAATGAAAAAATTTTCTCATAAGTCCAAAAATTGCACATTACAGTAGTTCTCAAAACCAGAAAATTTTCCCCGTCCCCGGAATTTTCCGGTACTACCGAAAAAATTTTCTCGGAATTTCGGGAAAATGTACCCAATCTTCATCTCTCAAACTCAGAAAAAATCTCCCCATCCCCGGAATTTTCTGGAACTTTCTGGGTATAGGGAAAATTTTCTTGGAATTTTCCAGAAAATGTGCCCCTCGGAAAATTGTGCCCAAAGCCAGAATTTTCGCTTTCGGAACGATTTTACGAGAAAATTTAAATTCCGGCTATTGGAGTTTCAGGTTTGAGGGAGCCCAGCTAATAGAGACATTACTGTACACTACTGTACCATTGAAAGTAACTTCGTTGAAGCATCATGGTGTAATTTATGATTCTTGTGGACGTGAGAGTACGCTCGGACAGAGTGGGTCAGTTGTAAACAAACAGATAATACGCGGTGACTCGGCAGATTTTTCGGAGGAGTATTTACAGTTAATAATTACTTTCTTCGTGTAGAGACATCGATAATTATTTGGACCTAAACTGTTGCTAGTTTGGCAAGCAATTTTGGTTCCATTTTGCTCAATATTTGATGCTTAATGCAATGGAGACAGTTTCTTTTTGTGGTAACACTAAGAAAATGTGTTTTTCAACTTCTGAGTTGAGAATCACAAAGTAAAAACACGCTTTTTTTTTACATTACTATGACAGTTTTCCATTGAAGAGCAACATATATTGACGAAACTGAAACCGACCTAACTTAACCTAACCTTAGCCACGTGTTGTCACGCAGTGAAGTCACTAGGTGGCCGGTACGGAGAATGATAAAACATTCAGAGGGGCTGAGATAATACAATCTTCAGTCTATAACATTCCCCACAGACAAAATTGACTTCCATAACAAAAATCATCACTTTCAGGTACAGTATAATTAAAAAAATCCGGATGCCAGAAATCCGGACCACTTGAGAATCCGGACTTTTCGAAAACTAACTTTTTTTTTTTTTTTTAGCTGTGTTTTGTGTGTATGTGCACATGCATGCCACAGCTGCACAGCGACAACAAGCGACCACGCAGTCGCCACTTTAAAACGAGCAATCAAACTGTGACAACGTATGTAATTTTAAAACCTACTCTTTCCATTTACAGAGTACTGTACAAGCCCATAATAATGGCTCCTAAAGTAGATAAACTTCGTTGTGTGAAGAGAAAGAAGAACACTAAGAAACTAGAACGTGGTGTGAGCACTACTTTTCTAATGGAAACATACGACATTGGAAAGTCTACAATTTATGATATAAAAAAGGCAAAGAATAAAATTCTACAATAAACAGCTTTTCCTTTAAAACTGCTCATTTTGATAAATGAGGCATGCTATATTTGCTAATGAATAAACTATCAAACTGTACCTGTTCATCTCTTCTTTATTCCTCCTTAAATTTGAATTTTAAAAGTACTGCCTGAGAATCCGGAAAATCCGAAAATCCGGACCGACCCAATCCCCAAGCAGTCCGGATTTTTGGACTTCACTGTATTAATAATTTCCACAATTTAGGTTTCAGTTTCCTCAATATTTTTTGCTTTACTTTTCAAAGGAAAACAGTCATAGAAACGAAAAAAAAATGCATCTTTTTTACTTCGTGATTCTCAACTAAGAAGTTGAAAAAAAAAAATTAGTGTTTCCACAAAAAATTACTATCTCCATTACATTAATCATCAAATATTAAGAAAATGAGACCAAAATTGTCTGCCAAACTAGCAAGTCAAGGTCTAAATATTAGCCAAGACATCATTTTAGTGTCATATGATCAGTTTTCACTGTGCTTTACCCCACAATTTCCCCTAATCCTTCATGACCTGCCCACTACAGGTGATTTAAGATCATAGACACAGAAAAACAAAAACAAAAATTTTAATTAAAATAAAAAGTTGTCACCTCTTAAAATAATTCCGCTAATATACTATCGGTGACCTTAGGTGGTTTGGTAATTATGGAGGATGTTTTTGGAGTTTTGTACACTGATTACTAACATTTCTAATAATTATCTTGGGCAAATGCTTAGTTTTCTAGATATAGGTAAGTTAATACAGTATATAGGTTAGGTTAGGTTAGGTTTGCAAAAGATTTCAGCTCTTTTTATATTTTTTCCCCAACATTATACAATATCCTCTAATAAAATCAGTGAAAACTGGGCATTTTTAAACTCATATTCACTGAAAACAGCGGACGGTCGTGTTCTAAATAATTACCGAATTACCAGAGATAAGGTCCAATTCCTGGTTAAATTCACAGCTCGGTGGTTCACATTCACAAAAGATAGAAACTCCAGAGACACACAAATTTGCTACAGTCAACTTAGTGGACTAATTTCAGTGACCTAACCTGTACATCAAAAATAAACCGATAAAATGAGGTAAATTTTCACTTGTTGCCACTATACAAAATCGAAGTTGAAACTGTTTTGCCGATGGTTTTTTATCTGTTATGAACGAATTTGAACCTCATTTCTGGAGCAGTTCAATAGTTTGAGATAAGCCCCTCCCCCCCCCCCTCCCACCTGAGAATCTAGAAACTTGCTATAAAAATCAAGGTAAAGTGTTAAAAACCAACAGAAAAACAATTTTGCACGTATCGTAATGTAATCTAACCTAACCGGGGTTTCGCTCCATAGTCGTTCAACGTTCTGGGTTTGTACCGCCACGTACGATCATACAAAATAAAATACATCACTTATATGTCATTTACACCAGAAATTCCATTGAAGAAAGATGTCTAATTACAACTACAAATTATCAGATTCATTTAGTAGCAACAAGTGAAATACCTAAAATAAGATACATACACCAATTTGCATTACTCTAGAGGTGACAAAAGACTTTAATGAAAAGGAAAAAATGTTTTATATCACAATGCTTTATATATGTGAGTCATATTATATCAACACTATACATCTCTATACTCCATTACATTATTTTCTAGTGGGGAATAAACAGAGACATGTAATATTTAAACATATAATGGGTTACTGAGTTTAACTATAGCAAATATGACTTAACATTAACTAATACCACACATCTATCAAGTACTTAACACACAGTATAAACTTAACACTGGTTTAATAACTATCCATTAGTGTTCACCTTCACCCCAGGCATCAAATACCCAGTACTTATTATTACCCACATAACCATTATCTTACTTGAAACAGAGGTGAATATGATTAATAAAACCAATAAATACTACTCGTTCCACCAAGACTTTTTTTTAAATTAAGATACAAGTTGTCAGACCTGGTGGACCTGGTGTGGCCGGTCTAAACACTAGAGGCTGTGTAAGGCGTCACTATACTCTACACCTTTTACAACATTCCTTAACTAATATATCATATCTCTGTTTATAACTATTAGGAAGCTAGAGAGTTATTTATATACAATATTATAACGGACCTTTTGGCTTTAAGTACACTCATTCACCAAGACACTTGAGAGCAATACAAACACTGTCTTCTGGTGTAAGGGAAAGTTTTCGTGTAGTAGTTAACCTTTATTTACTCTATCTCAACTCTCTTTGTCAGTAATAAATCTACTATAGAAAGTTCTAGAATATTAATTTATCATCAAGAATGTGAAAAAATTGGTGATTTGATTTGTTATATTAAATATACTTATAAAAGTTTACTTCACTTCATTATGGATATGAAAATTGTTCAATGGAGTATTGTCAAAGTTCAGTACAATGGTCTAACTAGTTAACACAATTGGTTCTCATCAGTGTTGAATTTAGGCCTAAGCTAAGTATTCTTCAGGCTGCATCAGGCCTTACAATGCAGGTAATTTCACCACCTCTATAGAAGTAATTTTTTTTTTTACAAAATGTGAATTTTTATTGCAGTGCTTAATCGTTTTACCTACTTTTTTATTTTGTTTAAAGTCTAGTGTTAACGGTTCCATATAGTACACCAGTTGTGAAAAATAGGAATTCTTGTTGTTGATATTCATAGAATAATTGTCACCAAGGTTGTTGAATCCACCTGTGTGATACGTGTGCAATACCAGTGACGTACTGCCATGTGAGTCATGTGGCATATCAGCTACAATCAATATCCTAACATCAGCACTGTAGCTACACGAGAAGCACCTGTATCACCCATTAAAGCAAGCTTTTATCTTCTCCAAGTTTCTATTGTAGGTCTACATGAAATAAACATACAATCTTATAATTTTCAATGATTAATTAAGATAAGACACCAGATTAGAATAAGTGATATATATATATACTTTTATAGATAGATCCCTATCCTTTAATTACCGACCAATCAGTTTAACATCAATTGTTGTCAAATTACTGGAAGCAATCATTTCAAACTATTCAAAATCACCTGGAGAAGCACAAGTTGATCAATGATTCCCAACATGGCTTTACAAGCGGGCGTTCATGTCTAACTAATCTGTTAAAAAATGTCATCTGTTTTCGAATCAGTGGACGAGGGGCACAATTATGATGAGGTATATCTCGACTTTAGCAAAGCCTTCGACAGAGTCCCCCACGAAAGACTAATAAGAAAAGTGGAGGCTCATGGCATTAAAGGAGATATTCTAAAATGGATTAGGGCATGGTTACAGGACAGGAAACGGCGAGTGAGCATTAACGGCACTAAATCCCATTGAAGCAACGTCACGAGTGGAGTTCCCCAAGGCTCAGTACTCGGACCATTATTATTTATTATATACATAAACGACATAGATATCGGCGTAGACAGCAACATAATTTGCTGATGACACTAAAATAGAGCGTGTAATTAAATCTGACGAGGACTCCACAAAACTACAGCAAGATCTTTCGAATGGTCTGAAAAATGGCAGACGAAGTTCAATGTGGCCAAATGTAAAGTACTTAGTATAGGATATGTAAACAGGGAAGCCAGATGTTATTGAGAAAGTCGACTGCGAGAAAGATTTAGGAGTAATGATGAGCAGGATTCTTAAGCCAAGTAAGCAATGTGTATTTGCTCGAAACAAGGCTAATAGAGTACTGCGGTTACTTTTTATTTTTATCCTCTTCGCCACTGATCGGCTCGTTTGCCGCGGCTTGGGTGATCGGTCACGTCTCTGTCACGCACTGTTGGCAAATACTGGGCATGCACCGACTCCTGAATGTACCTGAACCCGCTCCAGTGTTGGTCAAGTCTTGTCTTGAAAGAGCTCACACTCGGTGCCGTCACAACACTCTCTGGCAGATTGTTCCAAGAGTTTACAACTCTCACTCCGAAAAAGTTTGCCCTCACGGTTTTCTAGACTTGCGGCTTCTTCAAACTTGAGCTGTGACCCCGTGTGGGGCGAGCGTCCGCCAGCTCCAAGTAAGGACACTCGACTGAGTAGTGCCCCTTGAGATGCTTATACACCTCAATTAGGTCACTCCTTGCCCGTCTGTAGTATAAGCTAGGCAAGTTCAGGCGCTCCAATCTCTCAGGGTAGCTGAGGTGCCAAAGTGCAGGCACTAGTCTGTTGGCCTGGCCCTCCTTTGAACATTTCAACCAACTGACAGTCCCTAGCATATCTCGGGGACCAGACGGGGTGGCAGTACTCCAGATGGGGAAGCACTTCACTCTTGAAGATCGTTACGAGGGACGGACCGTCTAGATATCTGAACGACCTTCTTGTAAGACCCAATAATTTATTTGCCTGGTTTACCTTCTTCTAGCAATGGCCCGAGAACTTCAGTTCATTGTCAACATACACACCTAGATCTTTCTCACATTCAGTCTCAAATAGTGCAGTTTCTTCATCCCGTTGGGACATATGATACGCCTCCTTACCGTTGGTACGCCCCAGGTGCATCCTCTTACACTTCGTGACATTGAATCTCAGCAGCCATTCCTTCGACCATTCCTGGAGCCCACAGAGGTCCTTCTGCAGTTCTTCACAGTCAGCTTGTTTCTTGATTTCATGAAATAACTTGGCGTCATCGGCAAACATTTGTATGGAGGAGTGTACAACGTCAGGCATGTCATTTATGAAACAAACAAACAACAGCGGGCCCAATACACTGCCCTGTGGTACCCCGCTTGTGACAGGTACGGATGACGATTTCGTGCCATTAATCACCACCCACTGTTATCGGTCATGTAGAAAGTCTTCTATCCACGCTAGGACATTTCCCCGAATTCCGTACCCTTCCAGTTTGATTTTAGGCCTTTCATGGGGTACAAATATCCAATACCTCGAGCAATTGTGTTAAGCAGGAGCGCCCCGGCATAAAACCGTGTTGGCAATCCTTTACAAGGTTGTTTCGTAGTAGATGTTCCATCGCGGCATCTCTGATAATACTCTCAAGTACCTCACATATTATGCTGGTCAGGCTCACCGGTCTATAGTTGTTCGTGGAGTGACGATCGCCCTTCTTGAAGATAGGACTCACATAAGCCACTTTCCATTCACTGGGGACCTTTTGGTCCTCCAGGCATTTATAAAACAGGATCTTCAGGGGCTCGGCAAGCTCGTTGCACAACTCTCATAGCACTCTAGGATGCACCATGTCAGGGCCGGGACTCTTATGGACCTTTAGCTTTGACAGTTTATTTCTAATACCCTCTTCTGTGAACACAATGTGGGTCAGTGCTGTGTCGAACCGTCTGTCCTCAAACGCAGGAAGGTTAATCGCATCCTCTCTTGTGAACACAGAGGAAAAGAAGCTGTTCAGTGCCTCAGCTTTATTCTGGTCAGAATCTGCGTAACTACCATCTTCAAGCCTCTGGTCTGATACTCCTACTCGCGTTTTTAATTTCGACTTTGCATAGCGGTAAAATGCCTTTGGGTTTGACTTGACCTTGCTTGCAACCAGCCTCTGGAACTCCTTTTCAGCCCTTCTATCTTTGCTTGGTTTCTGGCTCTTGCATGCATCCTCCTGTCCTGCTCATCATTTTATTTTTTTTATGCCGAGGCATAATTTCGTAAACTGAGTATTTTGATTGTTTTCAGCAACAGTTATTTTGGCAAATTTAGTGAAATTTTCGTGTATATTGATGATATTGATGTGGTAGGTAGAAGGCAGCTACCAAACTGGGAGATACTACCGCCTGGGAAGATATTGGAAGCATAATGTGTTTTCTAATGGTAGACCCTGCTGCCATATGGGATTGTGGGGTATGAGTTTGTTTGTGTTCACACTCAGGATGGAATGGAGAAAGGAAACTCACAATGTGCTCTCTATATACATGTTGTATTGGATTTACAATGCAGCTTGGTGCTGGGAAGGCAGCATGGTTACAAGCGTGATGTAGAGAGAGCTGGTTGGTGATGATGCTCAGAGAAGGACAGCTTGTGGGTCGCCATGCTCGCCGGCGGGAGCGAGGACCGCCAGGCAGCGGCGGAGGAGGAGGAGGTGTTGCTGGCTGGTTGGTGGAGGTAGAAAGAGAGAGATCACCACGAGGTCAGGTCTTAAATAGCGGGGGCTAGGCGTGGCTTAGTAGTTGACCCCCGCTCCGTGGGCGGCGCTGGTTGACCTAGACCACGAGGCTTACACTGGGGAATTCGTGGGGTCGGCTACGCAGCGACAAACAGCGTTTGTAGGGGAGAAATCCACTTCAGGATCATGAAAATTGTGACCAAGTCCCAGGTATTTCTGCCGCATTTACACACAATTGCAGGGTCTCAATTGTTTCTCTTACTTTGACAACACTACATCTGATTCTATACATACATCGTTTCTCACTATTGATCTTTTTTTCATTTTTGTATTTCTTTATGGTTCTTTATTATTATTATTATTATTATTGTTATTATTATTTTATTTTTAATTTTTAAATTTTTATTATAAATTTTATTTACTTTGAACTAATTATTATTATTAATGTTATTATTATTACATTTTCGCCCCTCAGGCCCCGATGTGGATCAGTGACCTGTGCCCGGGTGAGCTAATCCTGTAAACAAAAATAGATAAAAAGTAAGAATATTCTAGAATGTACAGTATTGCATCATTTTGTTTTTATTGTAAGCCTCATTCAGAGTAGAGCGTTCTAGAATCTCCCAGGCGTCACCGGGTGATTCTAGGATGTTCGAGAAGCATCTGACGAGGTATACAAGCAGGAGCAGGCTGCCTAGCACTATAACAAAAACAAATAAACTCAAAATACAAGCAGTCCAAAACGTAGCCCTCAGAAGAGCAGCAAAACTCAGACCACCATATATAAAAAATTCCAGGGAGCTAAACACAGAACATAACCTAACCACGATCAAGATCAGAACACACAATCAAGCATTAGCAATATGGGATAAGCTACACGGACTGGAAGACCCCATATTACAATAACTAATGCAAGAAGACATTACCACAACACACAGCTGGTGGCCAAAGAGCATGTTCTTGCCCTTAACCATTGATTCTTGATTAGTTAATGGAGCTAGAACATGTAAAAGTTTATTAGGTTTTAGTAGCAAAACCCAACTGGTCCTCTTAGTCATTTATTTAGGAAAATATATTATATTCAGTTCCAAGTGTATATCACCATAACTTAATCACTGTAGCTATGAGTGTTAAATGAGGACGGAGGCTATGTTAAAGTAGCTCTGTTAAATACGTCTGATTGATGTGAGAGTGGGAGTGATAGTGAGTAGGGACTGCTCGAGGGAGAACGGAATATATCCCACGTCCTCCCTCAAGGAAAGACGGAGCACATCGACGAGGGCTCTAATAATGTCTTCCTCTCGTCAGGGTTACCAAACTACTGCCCACAATAGGTGGTCAGAGAGCCCGCTACTCAATGCCTTAACTCAGCACCAAAAGGCGTAACTTCCCGTGGGCACACCTTATCACGTGCTCTGAACGTGTCACCTCTAAGCTAGTGAAAAGTTACAGAGGGTGATAGTTATACAAGTCTAATGTAATTAACCCACATTTATATAAGTACTTCTGCCTATGAGACAGGGGCTAATACAAGAGGTGTGAGATGAAAGGCGCCACCGATTGGCTGGGCGAGGACGGCAGGTGGCTAATCAGCGAGCAATTCAGGAGCAGAGGCTGTGGTATGGAACTCATTGCTGACTGGCTGAGGCGAGGAGGCAGAGAATTTGTAGGGAGAGTTCGCAGCTACAATACTCCCCCTTCCATCCAGGCGCTGCAGGAAGTGTGTTGTGGGCAGGATCGTATCCCACATGCGAGACATAGCGGGCAGGGGTGTGAACCACTAGGCCGCTACGAGTGACAACTCCGTCGAGTGGCATATAATCTGTGGGAGAAGCATCGGCAGATGCGTAGTCCTTGGGGGCGCTGGGTGGGATGTCTGGGTCCACAGGGCCAGGTGCAGGATCCTCATCAGTAGCAGTAGGTACTTGAGAATGAGAAGAGGGCACCCAGTAATGTTGTGGACAAGGTGGTACTGCAAGTGGCAACTGTGGGCAGACTGGTGAAGGAGGTGTAGGCGTGGTTTGCTGGGGGCCCATCGGGTAAGGTGGCCGGCTTCACTCGATCGATGCTGACGGTGTCATGTCTGCCATTACGATTGATCGTCAGGAGTTTCTCTGACCGTGCAAGCACCGGGAAGGGTCTGTCATAGGGGCATTGAAGTGGGTTGCGGTGAGCATCGCGCCTGATGAAGACATACTCGGTGTTGAGTAGTGCAGGAGGGATGTGTTCAGGGCGATGGGAAGACTGGCGTGGGGCAGTAGCTTTGAATGCAGAAACTGCTTGCCGTAGTGTTTGCAGTAGGTCGTGGCGGACAGCAGGAGTGAAGTGGTCAAAGTGGTCAAGGTCAGGAGTAAGTGTTAAGTCCCCGGGTAGGCGAAGGGGCTCGCCAAGGGTGAGATCTGCTGGGCTGCAGTCTATGTCCTCTTTGTGTGATGCGCGGATGCTAAGGAGCACTAAGGGGAGAGCATCCGTCCAACTGTAGGGGTTGTGCTGTGCCTTGATGACGTCCTTCAGCTGCCTATGTAACCGCTCTACCATGCAGTTGGACTGAGGGTGATAAGCAGTAGTGCGGTGCCTGGTAGTGCCGAGAAACTGCAGGAAACTATGCCAGAATTGTGACTCAAACTGGACTCCTCGGTCAGTGATGACAGTCGTGGGAGGACCGTAACGGGAGACACAACCAGACAGGAAAGCACGGACTGCTGACTCTGCTGTAGCATTAGGCATGGGAATGGTTTCTGTCCACCTGGTGAAACGGTAATTGCAGGTTAAAATGTAAGTGTTGCCGCAGGATGCTGCAAGAGGTCCCACGATGTCGAGGTGCACTACCTGGAAGCGTCCTTTGGGTACAGGAAAGGTTTCTAAGGGAGCCCGTGTGTGTCGATGTATCTTAGAGGACTGGCAGGCCAGGCACTGGGCAGCCCATTTCCGAGTACAGTATCAGCCTTGATGCCGGGCCAGACGACACGTTGCGTGAGAAGGCGCTGGAAGGCCCGTACACCTGGGTGGCTGAGACCATGGATGCGGTAAAAGATGGCGCAGTGGTGGGTGTGAGGACACGAACGGTCTAGGCTGCCCACAGGACATGTCGCACCACAACTTGATGATCGTGCCGGGAACAGGGAGTGCTTGGAGGGCGAGACCTGAGGGAGATGTCTTGTATGCTGTAAGGTCTTTGTCGTTCTCTTGAGGTACGGTGAGCTGCCTGTAATCCATGGGTGGAGATGAGGGTAGAATGCTGGATATACAACGAGAGAGAGTGTTGGCGATCTCGTTGTGGCTGCCCTTGATGTGTTGGATGTCGCTGGTGAATTCCGAAATGTAAGCCAAGTGGCGAAGAACACGAAGTGTAAGTGTCTGGGAGGCTGAAGCAAAGGCGTGGACGAGGGGCTTGTGATCAGTGAAGATGGTGAACTGACGGGCCTCGAGGAAGTGCTGGAAATGCTTGACAGCAAGACATATGGCCAGGAGCTCTCGATCGAAGGCTTCGTACGTGAGTTGAGGTGGTTGAAGCCGTTGTTAGAATAAGGCAATGGGCATGAGAGTTCCGTTGATCTCCCATTGTAAGACGGCGCCCACGGCAGTAGAAGAAGAGTCTGTTGTGAAAGTGGTCCGGGCGTTGGGAGCAGGGTGAGCCAGCAGGGTAAGGAGTGTGATGTGCCGCTTGATAGTGGTGAATGCTGCAAAAACCTCTTGAGTCCATGTGAGAGGCCTGTGGATTGAAAGGCCCCATACTGAAAACCTTGGATGAAAATATGCAAACAAATCTGTACGAATGAACACATACTGTAGGAGTAGTATCTGTCTCTTTCTTCACACACAATTTTCAAATTGCAATATGTAGCAAAAAATGCCCCCAATTTTTTTTCATGGGGAAGAGGCATAAGGGCTATGCTACTGATGGTAAGTGAATGAGATGTGAAAAATTGTTCAAAGTGGAGCTAGATGAGAGGGACGGGGGAGAATAAAACCAAGGAGCAAAATATTGTGTGAAGCAAATGGTAAAAATTGAAGGTGATGGATTGAGGAAGCAGCAATATATGTGAGTGAATGGAGATTGTGGTGTCAAGTGATACAGAGAAGAATGTACTGTTAATAGGGTCTTTTGTGGGACTTGAAGGGAAATAACTACCCCAGTAGTAGGGTTGAATAACAGCAAATCAAGAGAAAGGTTTAGGTGTACAGTATTTCCATTTTGTTCCAGCCACTGCATTATAGACAGCAAAAGATTTGTTTGTCAGCACCCACAGGGTACTGTTGGTGCCAGTTAATCAAATCTGGTAATCAATCAAGTTTTATTCTTAAAGAAAAATGATCATTTATAAAGAATAAAAATTATGTACAGTAAATAAATAAAATTACCATATTTCTATTGATTTACTTATTTTTTAGTTACACTTCTCCCTTGTTTCTGTCTCATCTGTTTGGAGCCATAATGTTTGTATGGGTAAACAATCCATTAATACAACAAACGGTGCCAGATTGATTCCCACACTGGTGGACATAAACAAACAAACACCATTGCTTCTGCCAGTTGCTTGATTTTATAGGGTAAGTGTCCAGGATTTTTGGACACTGAAGGCCACTGAAATAACACATATGATCTTTATACTGTACAGTAACACTATTATTCATTTAGTTATTTTATTTCTTCATATCTAAATCTTATCCATAACATTTATATAAGTTGGTAGATGTAAAAACCTTTGTTATTATTTTCATTTATTAGTTATTTTAGTAATTTTATTTTTCAGTAACAAATGAACCTTATCTTTAACACAGAACATTTGTTGGTTACATAACAGATGTATAAAATATAAAAGTTCACATGCTTAATTTGTTATTTACTATCATTAATTATATTAAAATCTATCTCACACTCAGTCATACTGCTGCACATGTACAGTCACCCACAAAAGTCCTGTTGCCTCTCCTCCTGAACTACAAACCCCAAGTATTCAGACTTGTGAATCCAAAGCATTTATGAACGGATTAATGCATCAGTGTCTACCGCTTCAGATTCACAAGTCTGAATCTTGCGACTTGAGGAACAGCAGGAGATGTGAGAGGACTTTTGTGGGTGACTTTACGAGCAAAAATTACACATGCTGTACACACATAATGATTCTACGTGTGAAAAACATCTCCGGCAAAACTACTGTACTACTACTTGTTGTCCAACCACTGAAAGAAGTCACACTGCTTCGACTTGGGAAGAGGACAGCAGTAGAAGTCTCGGCCATTGTTATCAGTTTGCTTCAGAACCGTCCTAATGATAGAAATCTTACCATGATGACACAATGGATGATGCAAGTCTCCCCACTGCAATATAATGAAATATAAGCTTTATCAATATACATTTCTGCAATCTTGAAGTGTTATAGTAAATCAGAAAGACTGACACTTAAGATCAATATACACTTGCATAACAATTTTCAACTATGATTAATTGTTAACTTAAATGGTAACTACAGTACCTTACAGTAAGTGTCAGTTTGACTGTATGACTGTAAAATAAGTTGGAGATATTTATGCCTTCTATGGATGCCTACGACCGTAGAAAATTATCTCACTTATTACCGAAGGCCTCAGTGTGTAACCAGACGTCAATGAGGAAGGATGCCATGCCTCCTCTCTTCTATCAACATAACTTAGCTTTTAAACAAACTTTACTCTTAGTATGGTACTGTATTTAATTTGTTGGCAATTTTCATTTTCATAAATAATGGGCGTTTCTTGAATACAGCAGTCCCTTGCTAACAATGGATTCTGGGTATCGGCAGTTTCTACTTTGTATACCATTTCAGCAACCACGGCATTAAATTTCGAGAATTCATGGTTTAGCACGGGGTCATTTTCTAATGTATTCATCCACGCCACATTCAGCCCCCCACCACTACTTCCACCACGCTCTCTCAGTCTTGTGATCTTGTACTGTGCATACGTATTTTACTGCTGCGTTCACTGGTTATTTATTATTATATTTTTTATTTTTATTTTTTACAGTTAATAGCCCACCTGGGCGCAGGTCATCGTCCCACAATGGGGCCTAGGGGGCAAAAAATAAGAATAAAAAGACATAAACAATAGAAAAGGAAAAGGTTATATTAATCTACACCACGAAGATGCTGGAAAACCAGCTTTTTGAAGTGAGACAGATTGTATGAGTGTAGAAACACAGAAGAAGGCAGAGCATTCCACAGTTTGGCTGTGTGAGGAAAGAAGGAGGTATTATAACGGGTTATTATAGTGTGACCGACATCTACAGAAAAACGGTAGGCACCACGGGCAAGACGAGTGTTACGAGCCCACCGAATCCACCGAACATTGCCCGTTAAAGTAACTGTAAAAGAGAGAGAGTGAAGCAACTTTGTGGTGAAGAGAAAGGGAAGAAAGATTGTCAACTAAAGGAGAAAAGTTAATAAGACGAAATGCCTTTGATTCCACCCTATCTAACAGTTGGACAGAAGAGCTCCCACAAATATGAGAGCAGTACTCCAAGTTAGGATGAATGAATCCCCTATAAACTTGAAGCAACTGCTCAGGAGTGAAGCATTCCCAGCTTTTGGGAGACAGCTTTAGCAATGTTGAGGATGTGTGGCTTCCGTGTAATAACATTGATTGTGCTTTTAACTATGGCCCCTAAGTGTGCACTGAGTGTTAGTGTTAATGGTGAGAAGAAAGTGAAGAGGGCACGGAACCTAATGAATCTATAAAAGAAAGTTGAAGTGCTAGATAGACTAGTGCGTGGCGAGAGTGTAGCACCAGTGGGACGCATCATGGGGGTTAAGGAAGCCTCGATTCGTACAATTAAGAAGAGTGAGGCTACAATAGGGGCTAGTGTTGCTGGTGGCACATCGAAAAGTGCAAAAGTTACTTATATGCCATGCAACCATAATTTAGAAAATATGGAAAAGGCACTGAAAAATGAGCCTTTAAGTTCTGAGGTGATACGTGTGAAGGCCAGGCCAGGCAGATGATGATGATGATGGTGACAAAGATGATGATGATGGTGACAAAGATGATGATGATGGTAATGATGATGAGTATAATGGTGAAAATAATGACTGATAATGATGATGATCTAATTTCCATACAGAAACAAATACAATGTACAACACAGGTCAACCTACCATAAAGAACTGACACTTGGTTTTCATTGGCATATTGCATGTGTAGAAAATTCTCCCTCTGTTTTCATTTTCCTTAACAACCCGACACCTCCTGGCTGCAGCTTTATGGCCTGAGCAAAACACCTGAGTCTTGCCACTGTTGTCTGATCCATTGTTGAAGAAGATAAAAGGATTAATTCACAAAAATATATATAAAATAATACCTCAACTTCTTTTTGGATATTTTTATTATTTTATTTGTACAAGTACAAATATCAACTTTGTTATTTTACTTCACGTGGGGACCTTTGAAGTACCTAAACTTTTACTTACATGATATTTCTGAGTACAGTTTGTGATTTGTATTACTGTAGTGATTTCTATAATAAATGTGCTTTCATTTCAACCGTCAAGGAGGAGAGGAATAAAATTAACATGAAGACTTTGATAACCATGAAGAATGCTAGGATAAAGTACAGTCGCCTACACTTATACCTGGTACAGTGGTTGGTGTGTTTTATGAGATGTGTCAACTCTGTGGAACACTTACCTAGTATCCTTAGTCTGGCTACTATTGTGGGGTTCCTTAGGGCCATTCAGTGAGTTTTAATATGATGTAAATAAACACAGAGTTGCCACATTTCACAAAACACACCAACCACTGTACCAGGTATAAGTGTAGGCGACTGTACCTCATGAAGTATTAATAATTCTTAAAAATATAGTCTACTAACTCCTTGTGTATGGCCTCCACCTCTGAGCTGCATAAACTCATTTGACATTACCCAAATAACATATTAAACATTATAGTGAAGGGGTAAAGAAGTAAGCAGACCTTAATGTTCAAAGTGCATTCCAAAACTCGAAGATTTCTATTCAAATACTTTTATGATAAGAGTTGGGGTAAATAATAAAACTTATAATCAAGGATGACTAACACCCCTCAGCTTTCACCTCCTTGGAAAAAATAAAATCATTGCTAACACTTAACTGACATGTGTACCTAATCTACAGAAGGAAGTCTGTTAAAATAATTAAAGCTTTGTCTTTTTAAGGTGAATTTATGTGTAAAATTATCATCAAATTGTGTGGACTAACCTGCTGGCCTGGTGTTAGGTGGTGTCACTTTGGGGAGCTTCATCACATCTACTCTAAGCTGGTTTTCTGATCTTGTTGCAGAGGGAAAAATCATTGAATTTTGCTTGTGACTTGGTGCTGGTGAGGCCTTTATTTCTTGGGATCCAGTAAGTCTTCTGAATGTATACTTCCTACAGATAGATAAACACAATAATTCATGTTCATGATACTGTACAATATCTAATAATAGGACCATATTTTAAAGATTAGGCACCCCAGTTTATTTAGCCTTAAGATTAACCAACTATTCTTTACCAAACCTAACTCACCCAGATAGTGTTAGGGAGTGTATTTTATTCATCAGGTAATAATAATAATAATCATGTGTTGTCAAAGTAAGAGAAACAATTGAGACCCTGCAATTGAGTGTAAATGAGGCAGAAAGTCAGATCAACAACCTGGGACTTGGTCACATATGTAGTAGGCAGCTACCAAACAGGGAGGTACTACCGCCTGGGAAGATATTGGAAGCATAATGTGTTGTCTAATGGTGGACCCTGCTGCCATATGGGATCATGAAAATTGTGACCAAGTCCCAGGTTGATGATCTGACTTTCTGCCTCATTTACACTCAATTGCAGGGTCTCAATTGTTTCTCTTACCCTTGACAACACAACATACATATATTGTTTCTCACTCTTGATTTTTTTTCATTTTTTATTTCTTTAGGGTTCTTTATTATAATAATAATAATAATAATAATAATAATAATAATAATAATTATAATTATTATTAATATTATTACATTTTCGCCCCCCAGGCCTCGATGTGGGTCAGTGACCTGTGCCCGGGTGGGCTAATCCCCGTAAGAACAAAAGAAAAAAAAGCAGGGTCTACCATTAGACAACACATTATGCACTCCAATATCTTCCCAGGCGGTAGTACCTCCCTGTTTGGTGGCTGTCTACTACTACTATCTGGCCAGTTGTATCTTTGATGTCACATTATACTGGGATATTTAAAGTGCTATTATATAGAATATACATAATAAACATATATGGACCAATACGTCTACCTTACCCCTTCACACTTCTGCTGGTCTCTTCAACAGTGTCTAATAAACGTTTGTCTCCTTGTGTTGGGAAGTTACTTCTTGGTGTGGCGGAGGAAGAGGACGATGGAGGAGTAGATGGCACTAAAAACTGTGAGCTGGAGTTAGGTGATTCAAGTGAACTCTCCAAGGTGTGGTCAGAGATAGTGAGGTGGTGAGGAAGGTCACTTAAGCTTGGAGTCCTGGCAGTGAGGCAGACCATACACTTACTGTTGGCAGGTTTGTTTTCTAATGTACAAACAGAGCAAATCCATGGAACCTGAAAACATTTGCCAAAAAATTAAAATGTTAGGGGAGAATTTGAAGCATGCTGATGAAAATACATTTCCTTGTTGTCCCCACGTCTAAAATTTTATCGTAGGTTCTATGACATATAAACTTTTGACTATTTTGTGATTGCTATTATACACTGAACTGTATTATGGTTCTACCTTATCTCAAGGATTGCATTTAAGGAGAAGACTAATAAAAACAAAATACTATTATTATCCAAGCAAGTTCATATTCCACTTCTTTCTTCATGTTGCCTTCATAAAATATTGACTCTTTTCTCATCTCAGTCACTTCATTTCTATGCTGTTTCTCCTAGTTATCTTTTATTCACATTATAATAAGTACTCTGAGCTAACAATTCTGAATGAAGTTAGACAAGAGAAGCTGCAGGCATATGGAGAAAAATTCTGATAAATATTGATTCTTCAAGAACCTCTTCATCAATGTAATGAACCCACCTGATCATTAGAAGACAGAACCCATCCCAATAAAGAGTTCTTAGTGGGAAACTTTTTACAGGATTTCAAGGTGTTTGTCTGACAGGCTTGACAGAAGAAGGTGAGTCTATCATATTCTCCAATCTTACACTTGATGAGTTGACCACCACATTCCACACACTTCCCCTTCTTATACACATTCATAAACTTGTGGAGGTTCTTCCCTTCCTTACGACACTGTGAAGTAACACCAACTTTAGAATCAAGTGTGTAAAGCAATGTTTCCACTGGTGCAAAAATCAAACAGCTTGAAAATTTAACATGGCAACACAAATATATACTGTACCAGCTTGCAAAATTCACTGCTCTACTTTGGTGGAGCAGTGACATACTAAAGTGAAATGAAAGTACATATAAAGAGACACACAGAAAGATGCAAATCATTGTACTTTACACTTGAGCAAATTACATAGTGGAGGAATAGAAATGTCTTTCCTATCAATATAAGTTATAAGCAGTCACACAAATTACACAGTTGGTAAATAAAAAATCTTCCTGACATAGGTGTTAAAAAAACACTAGTATATAATAATTAATGGCAACAGGTGTAAATGTATAAATGTTTTTGTTTTGTTTTCATACTAGTTTTAAGAAAGTACTAAGGTGTCAATGATGGAAGAGACAGTTCAGGAGGGGGCAAGTTCTTCTTCAGTAAGTGTCTAAGTCAGTGGTTCTTAAACTTTTTTTGCATCGCGCTCCCCCTCTGCACAAGTCCTGGTTATTATAGAGTGGGAGGGATGATCAATCGTGTATAAGATGCATTCAGTTCCTGACCAGACTTTTCTCTCTGACCGCTCGCGCCCCCCAGTTTAAGAACCACTGGTCTAGGTCAAAGGGAGACTCATGTTGAACTGATTTTGTTTTTGGGGGGGTATTTTTGTCATTGGGGAACTGAACCCTAGTTTTCCCATGCTTTTCTATTCTCAACGGACAGAAAAGAGCAATCACAGTCTTGTTTAATTCCTATGATAACGATACTCATAAATCTCCACAAAATATAACACACCCACCAATCAATATATCAATCAAGGTATCAGCCACGTGTCTGATGACCACGGCCCCCCACTTCAAAGGTGTTATATCAATCAGGGGGTCACAGCTCTTAATTAAATTCATTCATCCCAGTCTCTGTCTTCCTTTGGCTATCCTACTCTCACTTCTACTCATTAACATTCCTACCATTATCTCCTCACCCTTAATTACATGAACAAAACAGTAATAAGTATATAGTAAAGTAAAATAAGAGTCATTGAGTTCCTTGCCTTGTAGAAGATCATGGTGAAGTCTCTGTTCATCTTCACAAGCAGAGAAACGAGCTCCTGACTCAACTCACTCACGCGGCTGTTGGGGTTGATTCCAGCATTAAAGAGAGCCTGTGAGGAGGGACATTATCATACCGGTAACACTCCATGGTGTCTTATATGGGGTGTTAGAAAAGTCCCTGTGCACTTGCAATGATTAAAAATAGTTACTACAGATTGACAATCCCTTATCCGAAATCCTTGGGGCCAGAGGAATTTCCGATTTTGGAATTTTTCGGTTTTCAGAATGGTTATTTTTTTTTAATCAATTACTCCCTTTCTCAGTTTTGCAAATGAAGGAAGAGGGAATATAGACACCATAAAGAAAGAAAGAAAGAAAGGAGACATGATAAAGGAGAGCTGTAGGACAAAGTTACACACAAATATTAATAGGCCCAAATTGTCATGTAAATTGGTGAATACGTATAATTTTTCGATTATCTTAAGACTAACACCCCAGCTTAGTTCACCTATTAATTAAACATCCTATTTCTACCTGAGGGGATTAGGTTAGCTTCAAATAGGTAAGGTTAGGTGAGGTTAAATTCGAATAGATTAAGTTTAAATAGGTGAGGTTAAATTTAAAAAGGTTAGGTTAGTTTTGTATTAGGTCAACTGATTTAAAGGTAAAAAAAATGCAGGGGGGATGGGGGGGAAGGAATCTTCAAGTGAACCTAATTTCCATGCATAACCCATAACAGATAATCCAAATTGTCAGAACAACAGTCTAGCATAAAAGTATAATACACTACCTCATTTTTTATAATGTTCCCAACACCCGGCAACACCAACTGGTCGAGAATAACATCACATATGAGTCGCTCTGAGTGTTCCATGATGGTACGCGTGGCTCGCTTAGCGTCAAAGGTCGGTGAGCAAATATCCAAATCGATCAATTCTGTATACTTTTGCAGACAATCAGCTGATGACCTGTAACACCGATATGGAATCTATGAATACTTAACATTATATCTTTTCTTGCCACTGGACTGGAATTTCCTCCTCTAAGCTGAGCCCGATGAGACTATGGAATGGCAAGTAAAACTCTTAACTTAAATTTATCCTGAATAAGACGAGAGTTTGTAAATTATAAACACAATACATCATTCCCGAACAATGACCTAAATAATTCCTTGGACCTTTGCTTCGACCTGACCTAGCTCTTGGGTTACCAGGGCTTGGTGTGTAGAATATTAGTCACATGGGCTTATGGTTTTTCACTTACAGTTTATAGTACAGTACAGTACAGTAGTTTGGGCCTTTCTGCCCAACTGGGATACTGTACTGCCATTTAAGTGCTTATGTTAGTATACATAGTGATGTTGGTGACAAGCTCTCGATATGTTCACTTGTGCAGTTATTTGCTTTAAGCACGCTTACTTTACCCACACGTTGGCGTCCTGAGCCTTCAGCCCATCACATAGATGACCACAACCATTCTCTCTCTGTTTCCTCTTAATTGTGGTTTTGAACATGATAGTAGGAGGTTGTAGTTAGGATTAGTGTACACACAATATGCTGACCCATTTGCATAACCTCACGATCCTAATAAATTAATAGAAATTACAATTAACACTTATAAAGGAAAGATTATACAGTACACATAATATACAAAGGTGCAGCATTACTCCTGGTGGACACATTAATAGCCATCCTGTACCTCAGCTCAACAGAAGTTCCTAGGAAGTACACCTCATCCTTAGTCAGTTTCAGCACCAGCACTGGATTTTCTGTTTTGCTGCGACCAAATTCGTGAGGTTCTTTGTTGAATCTAAAAATAAAATGGGAATAAATTCATTATTATTCACCTTCTAATGGCATGGTGTCTCCTTTTATATGACCATGTTAAAAAATTCTGAGGAATTTATTGTCAATGAAGTACAGTAATATATCATGATTAGACATCCCAGCTTATTTTACCTGATGATTAAAACACCATAAGATTAGACATCCCAGCTTATATCACCTGATGATTAAACACTATAACTATCCTAAACTAATCCCCCAGGAAACAATGGGGTTATTATCAACAGGCAAAATAAGCTGGGGATGCTTACTCAACCTTCAAACTTCAAGAGCATGACACTGACCTGACAGACCCTGCCATGAGGAAGTGTACACGCAGACAAGCATCATCTTCAAAATGTGCAAAAAGTTCCTTCCCAAGTGTATTAACATCCATCAACTTCATTCCAACAAGAACATCAAAGGGAGAACTGCCATTGACTGCTGCTTTAACTCTCTGGAACATAAAAAAAAAAGTCTTTAAAAATACTGCATCATTATTTCAGTTAAGAGGAAGCAATGTATTGTACCGGTCTTAGTTGTTGAATTAAAAAAAAAACATATTTCATTAATCTCATGACTAATAAAAGAAGTTAAATCAAATTATCAATTACTGTAATAGGATTTATGTGGTACAGTATATTAAAAAAATAAAAGGATTCATTATTGATCAGTACAAAGTGCAGGAAGAGTGTAGTACAAAAACACATCATTAGGTACAGTACAGGGTGTGCTACATGTGGTTAATATGAGGTTTAAGATAAAATAAAGCACACACCAAATATAACCTATGTAAATTAACTTAGTGTTTTTCTTTAATTCTTAACTATGTATACTGTATACTATATCTATACGTATTGTAAAATCAAAGAAGATTTTTGTTAAGCCGTCATAGAAGTTCACATTTGTTCACTATGAACTTGATAGTTAGTAGTGGTGAGTGCCAGTACAGTATAAGACAGCCACTGACCTTCTCAACAGCAGTGCCACTAACAGCCTCAACCTTCTGGCCTCTCGCCCTCCTCCTCAAGTTCTCCCCCTTCAGCTTGCATCCTGGTCCCTCTACCATGACACACCTGCTGGCGATACAGACACACCTGCTGGCAATACAGACACACCTGCTGATGATAGACACCTGTTTGTGATACAGTCACACCTGATGATGAATATTACATAATAGTTTTGCTTTGCCTCAGCCTATAGGAGGGGGCAGGGGTAAATAATTAATTTTGTATTTAATTTTCTCTTTATTTCTTATCTTCTCTAAATCTCACATTTACCCCCTTGTTACTTTACAATCTTCAATACTCACGGTAGCTACCATCACCCAGGTTTTTCTACCAGAATATGCTGTACTGTATTGTATGGATACACCCCATATCGTCACCAAAACCCAATTTCATTACCAATATCAAATCCGTTTCGTCACCACTAACAGTCGCTGGTATTAGTGACAAATTGTAAGTGATTATTTTACACTAATAGAAATTACACATGTATACAGACGACTGGAGAATTATTGTGTTATTATTATACATGAATATTAATCATTTAATAGAGAAAACGATTAAAACATTGGTAAATAAACAAAATACAGAATAAATGAAGGTCATGAACCACCGAGCAGTGAGATGATTACAGGTGTATTAACAATGTTTTTATGATTTATTTTCGTCTTTAATAAATTGTTTTAGTGTTTTTTTATTATTTTCTATCCCAGGCAACAGTTATTTTCGTGTATATATTGATGGGAATGACTGTGGTGACGAAACGGTAAAGCAGTGGTGACGAAATGGGTTAAAAACAGTGGTGACGAAACGGGTTGGCGAGGGCAAAGCTTGTGGATTCTAATGTTTTCAATGGCACAAAGTATGAGGGAGAATGAAAGGTGGATACTGCAATGGTAATGATAGCACAAAAGACAATAAGATTATTTATTGCAATGAAGTCGAGTATAGGAACACATCACCAGAACACAAACACATGAACCACTCCTTGGGGTTCACTCAAGACTTGGCCAAATTTATGTTACCACTTATACAATGCATACGGACCAATTGGCTTTACATTCAGCTTAGCAAAAACAAGTCTTTAAATTTAACAGAAGCTAAAGTGACACACGAAAATTATGAGTTTTTACCACTTAAGCTACGGGAATACTTTATAACACCCCAAAAAATCCGTCACAAAACGGATATTTGTGTACTGCAATTATTATTACTCTAAACACTAAGGATAAAGGTTACTCGGTAATATTGCAATAAACAGCAAACAAAAATATTCCGGAAATTCACTTTATAGAACTATTTTATGGTCACACTTAATAAGACTCCATGGCACAACCTTGCCTCTCGTCATTTACCAATATTATACCTGTTAACATTCTTTACAACACAGGACACTTTGGTATTCACATGTTTAGTGAGAATAATGTACTTCAGACTGACACGCCATTGCCAGCTGGTGGGATCCAAACATTGGCGTGGGTTACCTTCAGCCGATCCTTGACCGAGCTCAAGCTTTGAAGCCGTGCACCTGTAGGCCTCAGCTCAATCGTAGTTTGCTCAATACATCCTGCCTGCATTGGCTACCCACCCTCGGCAGCCCCAGCAACACATACAGTGCCTATTTTACAGAGAATAGGGTGCTTAAAGTGATAAAGTCAAAAGCACAACTATTGCAAAATACTTCATGGTACAAGGAAACAAAAGTGTCGCCAACCAGTGTCGACTGAAATACCCAAGATCTCCAGGCAAAAATTCCCCAAATAACCCATAAAGGATAACTTCAAACACAGGTTAGATATATATATATGAGCAATAGGTGTTGGGTGTAAATGGGACTGCCCAGTATGGTCCAATAGGCCCGCTGTAGTTTCCTCCATTCTTATGTTCTTATATTGTCACAGGTCAATCAGGTCAAGAGCTCCATCCCAGGTAAACTTCAGGTGAGGTCAGGTCAAATGTGTGTTGGCCATGTGACCTTACATGACCTGAAGCCTAAATTATGATTTCAAACTTTGTGTCACCATATTGTTTTACAGTATAGCCAATGTAATCAGTATTGTGTAGTTTGCATTATTTTGTAAATTTATATTTTGGTAACTATTAATCTAATATGTTGAATAGCAGAACTATGGAAATATTTAAGAAATATAGTTAGGACTTATTTACTTATATAGTTTTAGAATAACCTCGCTAATCTTATAACTAACACTCCTTTGTATGAACCCAAGTACTTTGTTAGCCTTGTTTCCAGCAAATACACATTGTTCACTTGGTTTAAGATCCCTACTTATCATTACTACTAAATCTTTCTCACAGTCGGATCTCTCTATAACAACGTTGTTCATCTCCTAGACTAAGTCCTTTTACATTTGTCTACGTTAAATCTCATCAGTCACTTTTCAGACCATGCGAAAAATTTGTTTAGATCTTCAGTAGTTTGTGGAGTCCTCGTCAGATTTAATTGCACGCCCCATTTTAGTGTCGCCAGCAAATTTGCTTATGTTGCTATCAATGAATTTGAGGAAAGTTAAAGTCGCCAACTGTACAGATTATGTTCTGTTACTTGCTAAAGATTCTCTGTCTTCCTCAACATTACCTTCCTGTGTTTGGGATTAAAGAAGGTGTACTGTACGTTTGTCTAATCTTTTCATACTTAATCACTTCTCTCAGCATCAATTTAACAGTTTGTTCATATGATTTTCTCTCCTTCCTTACAAGATTCTTTATAATGATTTATGCCGCCGGGAGTGTCATTTTTTTCGCTTTAACTTTAAGGAACATTACCAATTAAACATAATATTACAAACCTAACATATCTTGCGAAACACTGATTATTCCCTCCTGTTTTACAGTTTATAACATAATACAAAAACATCAAAGGTAGAAAACAGTAAAAAATAATAATAATTTGACAAATATTCAACTTTATTTACAGATTTGAGTTACAAAAATTGTGCTTTACAAGATACAGTTTCTGTAGTTTTTTATAAATATTATAAAATGCTTCTGATAATTACGTCTGAAGATAATATGTATTTTTTGTATATTGGCATAAATAATTAAAGAATAATGGCGTGACACAGTTTAACCCATTGAGTACGGTGTTAACCTCATTATTAGGTCGACCCATTTCTTTACTCAACTGGTAAATATGAAGGGTTCACTTTCCACTCATACAATATTTCTTGTTTTAAAATGAATGTCTCTTTGCACGACCACCGCTAAGATCAATTGGCTCAAGTTGTTCCTTAAGCCAACTCAGGGGACCACCGCTAAGATCAAGTGGCTCAAGTTGTTCCTTAAGCAAATTCACGGGACCACCGCTAAGATCAAGTGGCTCAAGTTGTTCCTTAAGCCAACTCACGGGACCACCGCTGAGATCAAGTGGCTCAAGTTGTTCCTTAAGCAAATTCACGGGACCACCGCTAAGATCAAGTGGCTCAAGTTGTTCCTTAAGCCAACTCAGGGGGCCACCGCTAAGATCAAGTGGCTCAAGTTGTTCCTTGCCAACTCAGGGACCATTAGCTTGTGGCTCCAGTTGTCTTGCCAACCACCACGCTACGTGGCTCAAGACCACCACCAAGATCAAGTTGTTGTTAAGCCAACTCACGGGACCACCAAGATCCATTGGCTCAAGTTGTTCTGGCAAATCACGGGACCACTAAGATCAATTGGCTCAAGTTGTTCCTTAAGCCAACTCACGGGACCACCGCTAAGATCAAGTGGCTCAAGTTGTTCCTTAAGCCAACTCAGGGGACCACCGGTAAGATCAATTGGTTCAAGTTGTTCCTTAAGACAACTCAGGGGACCACCGCTAAGATCAATTGGCTCAAGTTGTTCCTTAAGACAACTCACGGGACCACCGCTAAGACCAAACGGATCAAATTTCTGGTCGTGTGAACATACACCAACACTCAGCGCTACATTACGATCCACCGGTCCACCACTAACTCCCATGGGTCCATCTTCCGTATAGTGAGACCATGAGACCGGTCCACCATCTATCCTTGAGGGCATCAGCGTATCACATGCACAGGGAGACACTTCACCACTCGAGGACTTGGAAAAATCAAATATTTCATCCTCTGGAGAATAACTCTCTTCAACAAGACGTGAAAGTCGCTGCCGGATACTGTAAGATAGAGCCAAGTCCTGAAGGTGATGTACACGACCACCTGGAGTGACAAAGACACCGTCAGAGAGGGACATCGTGAGACACGCCATCGTAGAGGGGCTCAGTGGAGTTCTGCAAGACAACTGAAGTCAACGATGACCTGGGTCGAGCTTATATGATGACGGTTGACGTGACGTGACCTAAGGTGAGCCGCTTGACCCCGGAACACGAGGTCGGTAAAACTGACGGACTGAGGGTAAGACTGCCTAACTTTACCTAATTTATTGATACATAGCAACACCTAAAGCTTCCTCAGGAATAATATGTTTTACTATGTCTTATATTAATGTTCTTAAAATCATCAGTACACGTGCAGGTAAACTGTATATACAACTACAGGTAAAGTAAACCTGCCGGTATACATACAGGTAAATAACGGTACAAGTAGGTATACAAATACAGGTAAATCACAGGTACAGGTACAGTTGAGGAAGAAATGCACACAGAAGGTAAACACAACTTTATTCAGGTTGTTTATTATACCTTCAAACTCTTCATAAATAAACACATAACATTTGATAGTCAATGAGACCTTATTACGAGAGTGAATGGAGACGATATTTTCAATTTACAAGTAAAATTGGTAATAAGTTTGTAAAGAGTTATAATGAAATTCTCAGTTAATGTCAGTTTTGTTGTCCGTCGCCTCGCTCAACGTATCGTAAACATCTGAATATGAGTCAGAGTTATGGGAGTAAATATTAAGGTTCGGGAGTGGTTCTGAGGTACAGGTGAGATACAGTCCTGGAGGAGTTAGGGTCACCTGATGATTAGACGTCCCATCTTATTTCACCTGATGATCATACACCCTAACGCTAACTGTATCTTGCGCTTGTAAGACCTCACTTGGATTTCGCGGTTCAGTTCTGCATGGTCACCGTGGTTGTATGCAGCAGTGTGGTCCGGTAGTTACGGGCCGCTTAGACAACTCACAGCTGGCGACACGGGTACACCACATCAGGGCTGCCGTTTGTCGGAAATTGCTTCTGTTAGTCAGATGAAAGAAAACGGATACGACGCCATCAGGAAGAAATTGCCCAAGCATATAAAAACATACCCGATTTTGCATAAAATCAAACCTTAATATTAGATGCAAAAACTTCTCGATGGTACAGAAAATAAATAGGTTTAACACCAATGATCCCTTTCTTAAGATAGTCTCTATTCTTAATCACTGTCAGACTTGGTTGAATTGGTGCCAAGGATCTTTAATGGAACCCTTCAGGAGTTAAAGGATCAAGGCTGTGCTGGGAGACAATTGACGACGAAACAAAAAGTTTGGATATTTTAACATTTTATAAGTAATGAAAGATGATGACAGGGACCTTAAATATGATGTAATTGGGAGATTTGCGTTGGACGTCTTGGCATTGACAAACTCTAACGCAGACGCTGAAAGACTATTTTCAAAATTGAACCTTACCAAAACAAAGTGTAGAAACTTCTTGCAAATGCAAAACTAAATGCCCTTATCACTATGGAACAATATGCTAAGTGTAAAGGAGGTCGTGTGAATATCAATATCGCGAATGTTCAGTCACCCAAAAAAGTCCTGTTGCGAATCACGATTCAGACTCGTGAACCCGAAGCAGTAGACTGATACATTATTCTGTCCATAAATGCTTCGGATTCAAGAGTCTGAATCTCGGGGTTCATGGTCCGAGACAGTAACTCCACCCTGAGTCTCTTACTGGCAATGTTACCTGGCAATACTTGGTAGAGTAAGGTTGTGTGGTTAGGTGATTATGATTGGTGGAATTATTTTCGGTTGCATTACTGTCAGGATAAATATTAAACAAACCAAATGTAAAATTTTCATAATAATAAACTATTCATTGTTATTTATGATCATGAGAAGTATCCAAACATTCGTATATTTGGCTAAATAATGTAGAAGTTATATTAATGAATTGGCAACTGAACTATAACGGGGAACGAGGACTGCCACAAGATTCTAAGATCAAAATTTCTTCGTAATTAAGTAAATAAAAGGACACTTGGAAACTTCTCAGGATCTTAAATAACAATGGATAGTTTATTATAAAAATTTTACATTTGGATCGTTTAATATTTATCCTGACAGTAATGCAGCCGAAAATAGGATATGTTAAATAAACTTTGCTAAGGGCATACTAGGCTCTTCCTTACATTCCTTTAATACTCTAGCAATATCTCATCGGGACCAGGTGACTTATTAGGCTTTAGTTTGTCTATTTGCTTATTAACATCGATACTAGTCACTACTATCTCGCTTAATTTGTTTTCTTCTCTACCTCTGCCTTTAGTCGGTGCCTCGGGTTATCATGTTTAAATTTTCGGTGGTGGATATTGATGAAAATATTTATTTAGATTATTGCTAATTTCTCCGTCGTTGTCAGTTAGCTCGCTGGTATCTGACTGAATTGGTCCAATCTTTTCTGGTGTTTTAGTTTGGTACATTTGAAAGAATACCTTGGGGTTTGATTTCGCCTCCCTTGCCATTTTCAAT